CAGGGTGCTTCATCTACAGGGCCCTGCAAACTGCATGCCTGTCTGCCGTAGCCACTGCAAGCCCTGTTGGACCTGATGGATCACGTGTGGCAGAGCAACTGGCATGCAGCCTGGACCTGATGCACAGCCTTCTCCTGATGTGGACCCCACTCAAAATTAATAGTTCTTTGGGGCCCTCAGTAAATGGGCCAGAGTGACACAAAGGAGGACTATGTTGTCTCCAAAATCCAGAGAGGCCCACTCAGCGTTGTCCCTCTTTTTTAGTTGGAAGGGAGCCAGATGCAACAACTTAAACTTCACATTAATAAGGGATAGCTTGACATATACCACACCACTGGATCCCTAGAAATTTCTTTGAGGCAGTACTCTGAATTTTTGTCAGATTATTTTCTCCCTCTGACACATAAATGTCTTACCTATAAGTATAGGGTAGCTGCTGTGTCTTTTTCCCTAAGTCTAATCACTGTGGTGTCATCAATGTAACGGATCCATGTGATATCTGGTGGAAGGGAAAAGTGATCAAGGTCCCGGCAAATTAAACTATGATGTAGGACTGGAGAGCTGATACTCCTGAAGTAGCACAGTAAAGGTGTATTTCTGGCCTTGCCAGCTGAAAGTAAACTGCTTCTTGTGGTCTAACAGAGACAAAGACATAAGTAGATCAATAGCTGCATACAAGGTGCTGGGGATGTGTTAATTTGCTCAAACAATGAAACCTCATCTGGCATGGCAACTCCAACAGGAGTCCCCACCAGGTTAATCTTACAACATGCACTGTTATTCTCCAGGGTCCATCCATCTTCTGCACAGGCCGATTAGGTGCATTGAATGGGATGTCGTAGGGATGACCACCGCTGCATCTTTAGGTCCTTGATAGTGGTAGTAATCGCTGCAATCCCTCCAGGAAAGCAGTATTGCTTTTGTTTTACTATTTTCCTACATAGAGACAGTTTTAGTTTCTTCCACTTGGCCTTCTCCCCATAATTGCCCTCACAAGTTAGGAAACCTGTGTGGGGATTCTGCTAGTTGTTGAGAATGTGTATTCCAATCATACTTTCCAGCACTGGAGAAATACCCACATGGGGCATTTGAGGACACTCTGGGCCCACTGTGAGACAGACCTGAGCTGAAACTTCACTGACCACCTGATCTCCATAAACCCCTACTCTGCGTGGACCACAGCCATGTTTTGAGTCTCCTGGAATTAGTGTGAGTTCAGAGCCAGTACCCAGGAATCCCCCCCAAAGCCTGACCATTTCCTTTTCCCCAATGCGCAGTTACCGTGGTAAAAAGATGTAGGTCTCTTTGGGGAAGTCTGGGAGAGAGACTAGCAGTACGCATTTTTGGCAGTGTCCTTCCTCAAGGGCACCCAGATTTCCTCTCAAACAAGAGGTTCTGGATCTGTGAACTGGCTCAAGTCTGAAAACTGACTGGAAGACTACAACTCAGTTTTCATCATTTTTTATCATTTCACTTAAGTTACATCTCTCTTGCTTACACAGACCAAGTAAGATGGCAACCCACTCCAGTGTTTTTGCCTAGAGAATCCTGTGGACAGAGGAGCCTGGTGGGCTGCTGTCCATGGGGTCGCATAGAGTCGGACACGACTGAAGTGACTTAGCATGCCATACATTTCACTTCTAGGAATACCGTGCTCAAATAGCCAACACCATCAGTCTCCCTAGTCAGACTATTCTGACTGCTGCTTTGACTCTGCTGTTCACTGATCATCACACCCCCCTGGCCTCTGCACATGATTGCTTCTATTCTCTGCCACTCAGGCTCCAGTTACTCCCCTTGCATTCAGGTTTTCTGAATCAGTGGCACTTGCTCCCACTGTAAGTTCTGGCCTACAGAGAAACATGATCACTGATATCTTCAAGGGTGCCCAGGACCCCCTCACAAATTTATTTCTCACTGTTGTGGGGCAAGAAGTGTCCTCGGGGCCAGTGTAGGCCACCCCAAATTGTGCCTGAATGAAACACTGACTACTTTGAATTCAAGTCACTTAAGAAATGGCCAACATGAGAGAGGCACTCTCACCCTCCTTTCTCTTTCTCTGAAAGCAGGAAATAATCTCTCATGTGAAAGGTGCACTCCCTGCCTCCGTAGGTAGGACACCCTTATCCCCAGAGCCAGGGAACTCAGGCTGTATAAATGAACCTCATTACTTCTTTATTACCCAAGTCTATAATCAGTTTAGATTCCTTACTACTTGAGCGCCCCAAAACCTAAGATTTTTTGTCCTGTCAGTTCCTTACAAATTTATTAATTTATCTAAAAAATATAAAGGCTGCCTGCTTTGGCCACTTCTTAGGTCCCATTTCTATGAAACCTCCATGTGCCTTAATTAAAATTTATTTTTCTTTCTCCTCTTATGTTGTCTTGCATCACTTTTATTATTAATCCAGCCAGAAGAACTGAAGAGGGATAAAAGTGGATATTTTTCCCTCCCTGACGCTACACATCAAATATTTCCATGAGCTGAATAGAAAGTAAAATCAATAAATTATATAAATATAATTATATGGTAAAAATAAGACAAGATAAAAATAGTTTCAATAATTATATAATAAAATCAGCTTTAATAATTATATGATAAAAGTAAGAAACATTAAAATAAATAGACTTTCTTCCCATGTATATATCTCAATAAGAAGTACCATGTTTACATTTTTGCAAGACTGATTTCCTGCTGTATCGTGAATCCTCTTTGGTGGGGCAATCTTGTCTTATAAGACTATAAATTATTTTGAAGTGAAACTCTGTTGGTTCCTAATGATTACCACTTCATCTTCCTGAGATCAGTAAACTTCCAAGTATGGGCTACAGGCCCTATTCATCTTGGCAGTTACAAATGCAGATACCTTGAGCCAAAGTTAATTCAAAATCTCTGGTGTCGTGTTCAGGAATTTGCTTTGACTATCACCACAGTGATCAGTGAATCACACCAAAGCTTGAGACTCACAGCTCTAGATGATCCTAAGTTATCCATTAATAATTACCTCTAAATTTTCAGTTGGGACAAATGCCAATAAAATCTGTTAGTGATTTCAGATATTCTCCTTTATCTTCTCTTTGAAAATGGGAAGATGATTTGTCCATTTACTCTTACCTCTTATTTTTCTCACAAGTCTCTAAGTATCCCTGATTCAGAATTTTTTCAAAATCAAGAAACTATTCCAAAACCTAGAAATGATAGAATTCCATAGTAAATGATAGTTTCTTTATAACACTTATCTTTATCTTCTTCCCCTTATGTGTTTTCTTGTATTTTCCTTCTGATGCTCATTTTCCTTGAGAGATAAAGCAGAAGCTACCTATGAGTTAGTCGAGTGGCTGTCTTATGTATAACTTATATTAGTATCCTGCTCCTATCTCATGGGTCTAGGTCTAGGGCCCTAAAGTGGGTGTTTTGCCATAAAGTATTTCAGTTTTTGTTTATAAAGAAGATCTGAGTGTTGTCCCTTTCAATGTGGATTGCTTTTATGCAAAATATTTAGGCATTATTCGGGAAATGCCTGAAAGAGCCAACATAAGAACCTTAATATTATTTATGTACAGTTAGACCTCTCGCTTTTACTGTTTGTACTACAGTTAGTGGGGTTCCCCGTCTTTCCTAATACCTTCAAATGGCTTATTGCATATTTTGATCTATTTTGCATGTTTTACTTTGCCATCTGATGCAGTAATGCTGCGCTGTACGTGTTAAAGCAACCCACTGGAGCATCTACAATTCCCGGTTTCTTCTGAAATATCAATCGAGCCATTTTTACTTAGAGTCGCCTGCTACTGGTGGGAATTCGGCTTGCCACGGCTTGCAGCCGGTAAGCCCTAGAATTCTGGTAGGTTTGGATTCCTCGCCGGGCGCTGTGGCGCGCGCCTGTAATCCCAGCTACTCGGGAGGCTGAGGCTGGAGGATCGCTTGAGCTCAGGAGTTCTGGGCTGCAGTGCGCTATGCCGATCGGGTGTCCGCACTAAGTTCGGCATCAATATGGTGACCTCCCGGAAGCGGGGGACCACCAGGTTGCCTAAGGAGGGGTGAACCGGCCCAGGTCGGAAACGGAGCAGGTCAAAACTCCCGTGCTGATCAGTAGTGGGATCGCGCCTGTGAATAGCCACTGTACTCCAGCCTGGGCAACATAGCGAGACCCCGTCTCTTTTGAATTCTTACCTTAAAAAAGGCTTTCTTTTTTTTTTTTTTTTTTTTTTATGGACTGTAGCCCGCCAGCCTCCTCTGTCTATGAGCTTCTCCGGGCAAGAATACTAGAGTGGGTAGCTTTCTTATTTTAATATGTTTTCATTTTTATTTTTAGTCTTACTTCACCATTATCTAGCGAAACAACTGAATATTCAGGTTGCCAAGTATTTATAGAGCCCCTATTGTGTATCAGGTTCTATGCTGAGCCCAGGGCCTCCCAATACTTAGAATGGATAAGAATCTCACAGTAAAACGCAAAATGCTCTTCGGAGAGAAACACTTATCAGAATAGGAACTTTTTTTTTTGAGAGTTGGTTTGCCTTGATCATTGAGGGTAACTGTAGGGCGAATGAAATAGTCCACTGCGTTAAATTTCAACAGTGTACGCCCTAGGGAAGTGGTGGTTGCTCAGGTTCACGGAACAGTACCTGGGGAAATCCTCCTAGTACGTTGCTTATAAATTGTTATGACCAATAGGAGTCACTATGGAGGCTGGCTTGAATCCCGAGAGGCAAGGGAGCAAAGTAACCGGACTAATTTGTAAGCTTTCCAGGAAGAAATGCAGTTTCAAGAGAATAATATGTATCTATTTCGAATTGTTTTGGTACGACGAAAAGCTAATCGAAGACGGCTTGGCTGCCGAACGCTTCACAAAATGTGACGCAAAGACGTTCGCTTCAAGGAGTATTGGATCTTCTGCGCGGCCGTAGATCCGCCCAGTGCGCCTGCGCATAAGAGGAGCGGCGTTGAGTCAGGCCGGCAGTGGAGGAAACTGCGGTAGCGACCCTCGAGGCTCGCCATGAAGACCCGCTTTAGCACCGTTGACCTCCGTGCGGTACTTGCGGAGCTGAATGCCAGGTACCGTACGACGGGTGACCAAGCTTTGCGGGGCGTGCAGGAGGCAGAGGCCATGGGCCCCCCCCGTAGAAATAAGAACAGCCTTGTGTCGTTCCCCCCACCCCCGCGCCCGCCCCGGGTGCTGTTCTCCCGTAGACCTGGCTAGGCCTGGGTGGGCGAGCGCGTGACATCTTTCCGTGGCCCTGAGGATACCGAGGGGACCCTGGCGGCCGCGTGCTCCACCCCCCGGCTCTCGTGGGCTGCTGGTCTCGCCAGGTCTTGCGTCCTACTTTGGCAGGGCTCTCGGCTTGCCGACCTGAGTCGCCCCAGTCTGGCAGGAAACGTTTACTAAAAGAAGTCAGTTGGACTCCAGGACACCAGAGTAAGTCATTAGTTCCAGAGGTTTCCAGACCAGATGCTTGGTTTGGTTGACTCTCCCCCTCACCCCAGAGAGTTTTAGCTGGAGATAAGAGATTCGGCCGGAGATCTGCATTCTACTTCGGTTTTTATTAATATTATTTAGCTGTGTGAGCCTTGTCATATTTCTCAGGGCTTCGTTTACATTTTTTCTTCTGTAATTAATTGAGTTAGATTTGACTGTATTTCCTAATATATGTATTGGATCACTTAAAAAAACTCAAAGCATTGTATGGTGTTCCTGGAGCTGATCTATCCCTTTTTTTAAAAGTTACATTCGAGGTTTGGGAGAAGGTTGCTGGCCTTCAGCCTCTGCACTCTGGTTGACTCCCTATCTTTAAGGATTCCCTCTTTGGCAGGCTGTGCTTCCGTCCACTGCTTTAAGTTGTGGGAAGTATTATGTTTCAAATGGGAGTATGATTTGTTACATGTTTTCTTTCTTTTTGCAGCTTGCTAGGAATGAGAGTAAACAATGTTTACGATGTGGATAATAAAACGTATCTTATTCGTCTTCAAAAGTAAGAGCATTTTATAGGCTTGTTTTATCTTTTGTAATTAATTAAAAAAAAAAAACAGCCTACCGTTAGTGCTGGTAGGACGCTAAAGAAATTTTGACTTTTTTCTTCTACAGACCAGACTTTAAAGCTACACTTTTACTCGAATCTGGCATACGAATTCACACAACAGAATTTGAGTGGCCTAAGAATATGATGCCGTCTAGTTTTGCCATGAAGGTAAACTTTATTATACTTGAAGCTAAATGTTAAGGCCCTGAGAGTGGTCACTAACAATTGAAGTTATAAACTGGTTTTTCTTCCTTGGTATAAATAAAACAGATAAATACAGAGTAGTTGAGACATCCCGGATGAAGAAAGGAGATGTTTATGAACTTCTCCCTTTTACCCATCGCACCACATTGTGTTCCATATCTTTCCTTCCCAAAGTTACCATTCTAATTCAAGCTTTTATAGAGTTGGACATTATAGTCTTTTAACTCTGTGCTTCTCACTATCAAAAAATTTTTGTTTCAGACCAACACTGATTTTTCTAAAGCATCATTTTGATAAGTTATCCCACCTTTTACAATTCTATGATATCTGAGTCTATATCCTACGCCCCAGCATTCTTGGCTTTCTGTTTTCTGCCCTCCTTCCCTATCCTTGTCTCCCACAGTTCACTTTTCAGCTGCCAGTATGTATTTTGTTGGAATACTCAATGACATTAGTATGCTGCCAGCCATATCTTTTTACTTTTCTCTTCTCTCTGTTTTACTGTTAAAACTGAGATCCTGCATCTGTGAATGTATTACCCATTTGCTTATTGACATAATAGGTATACTGAGAGCTCCTGGTACAGAGGAAAGATATTAGAATCAGATATACATAACTTTGAATTAATGGTTTTGCTGCTGAATAATTTTATAACTTGGAAATTTTACTTAACCTCTTGGAACTTGTTTCTTTAAATGTAAAATATAGATAATGCCTCTTTAATGGGGTTATTGGTGAGGATTAATTGAAGTTAAATGTAAAGCACCTAACACAATGCCTGACACATAATAGGGCTCCATATGTATTAATTTCCTTCTTCCTCTCCTCCTCACTTTCCTTCAGAAATTTATTTGTTTTGGCATTGTGTTATTTCATTAGAGGCTTTACAGAGAAGATCCTTATCCCCAGCAACTTAGAATCTGTTTTGGATTACACGTTAGGTAAGTGTTTCCCAAATCACAAGGCCTGTCACAAAATTAACCAAATTCTTAAAAGTTTCATTTACTTAATAGTAACCCAAAATGTTTCTTTCGAAAATTGTCCTTAATAATAATGACACTTTGTATAGCACTCTTCAAGGAATAATACTTCATTTGAGTTGTTTAGCAACTCTGGATATGAAGAACAAATATCATTTCAGTTTTACAGATGATAGATAAAAGCTTTATGCTTTTGGGGTTGTGTAAACATCCCCAAATAAGGCTATATCAATAGGAGATCAGACATTCAAAAACAAAAACAACTTTTATGAGTTAGGTATACGTGTCAGTCTAAATATGTATACAAATTCCCTCCAGTGGAGTAGACAACATTAAGCACTTTATAAATAACTAAGAGCTGTTACTGTTGTATGTCAGGCAGGATCATGTTTAGTATGTGGTAAGTCAGTGACTTTTCCTAATTCTCACATTTGGGGATGCCAGATACAGGTTTGTGGCACTGACAGAAGCTTGTTTTCACCAAGATGCTAGTAGAGAAATAAAAAACAAGTTTTACATATGTATTATATGTCTGTCTATACTCATGATAATTTTCCTTTTTACCATTCCATGGTGTGGACTTCTATTCCATTCAAGGATGCCTTTTAGCTTCATTTTAACTTTTTCTCATAAAAATGTTACTGGACAAATTGACTATGATTTTCACCTGGGGATTTAAAGATAGCCCTGAATGTAGGTCACTGTTTAAATCAAAATTAATGTAGGCCACTTCTAAATGAAAACTGTTAAATTTAGGAGGGAGAGATTGTTTATTCTGTGAAGGTTGAAAAGTGTCATATCTGCCTGAATGTAATATGAATATAAAATTCTGCCTGAATACATAAAATGAGAATTTTGGTCAGTTTGAACTGTAGCTCCGGAGAACTCTTATTTATGAAAGAATTGGCATTGATTTGAAGAATGACCCTGCATATTTCTTCTTTTTTTAAGATGGTTTTAGATGAACTTATCTGTAGAATTTGTCTTGGAGTTGAGTCTTGAGGAAAAGAAAGCATCCTTTCTTTCTGGTCTTGACTAAGAGGTCTTTCAGATTCAAAAATAAGAAACAATTGTTAAAAGTTTTTTAAGGAGCCACAGAGTAGTTTTGTTTTTAGTTGATGTCATATTTAGATATTTATACTAAAGGGTAGTATGGGTTTCCCTCATACTACCTTGGAGTGTCCTTGCCTGGAGAATCCCATGGACAGAGGAGCCAAGGGGCTACAGTCCATGGGGTCGCAAGAGTTGGACACAGCTGAGTGACTTTCACTTCAAAGGGTAGTACACGAAATATAAAACAGTAGGTATTTACCAAGAAGGTTGCCTTTGGGTTTAACATGTTCATTTTATTTTAATTGCTGATAAGAACAAGAACTTTACGACTAGGGATAGAAATGGGATTTGATAAAAGATAGGAGTTACTGTATTTGGATTTGAGCTAAGTTGTTCAAAAATTTGGAGATAGTACCAGAAAAATTCTGCTTGAGCTTTATTAATAAAGTTTGTGAGAACAGGTTATTGGTTGTAAGTTGGAGGACTGATTTATAGAATTCTAGTAAGCTCATGGTTCAGAATTTGTATTTGAACTGGAAGATTAGTGGAAATCACTAATTAATCTTGGACACAAACACACAAAAGGAAATTTGGAATATTTAAAAAATTAGAGTAGAAAGGCCTTTTAAAAAAGGTTACGGTTTTGTGTGTGGTCTTCAGGACAAGGACAGAAATTTATTTAGCAGTGATATAAAGCAACAAAGTAAATTTCATTATGTTATTGTCTACTTAAAAATTGAATATGAAATACTATTTCAGAGTTAGCAGTCAGAGTGGTCTGAAATAAAATGTATTTCTTCTGATTATCATTCTGTAAGTTTTGATTTTAAGACTGTACTATTTTATCTACTAGTCTTAAGATAGTATTCCTAATGGAAATTACAAGGAGAAACATTTATAAACCAATACCGAATGATTAGAAATTCACTTTTACTATTTAAATGCCCTTTTCTTTTCTTTCTTGCTAGTGCCGAAAACATTTGAAGAGTCGGAGATTAGTCAGTGCAAAACAGCTTGGTGTGGATAGAATTGTAGATTTTCAGTTTGGAAGTGATGAAGCTGCTTATCACTTAATCATTGAGCTCTATGACAGGGTAAGTTAAATTTGAGGGTGGGGTGAGGAGAATTCACTGTATTGTCGATTATTTATGTAAGAGTGCTATCAGACATAAGCAGGGAACATTTTTTTCTTGTGAAAGGCCATTGATACACTAGGATAATGTAGTGCAATGCAAGTAAAATGTAATCTTCCTTTAATCTTCATTTTATCTGGAGGCCAGAATTTAGGCAGACCTTAGCCATTTAAAATAGTATTTGAGGGACTTCCTTGGTGGTTTGTGGTTAAGACTGTGCTTCCACTGGGAACTAAGATCCCATATGCCATGTGTGCAGCCAGAAAAACAAAAAATAATAGCATTTAAATGTGGTGGATGAAGATCTGAGAATTGAAAATATTATCTGGTACTTTAAATTTCAGGACTGATGTGATAGAGCCAGCAAATTATCAAATAGTTTTGTCCTAAACAGCATTTGAGACTTAGGGACATAGCCATGCTTTCAGTGTCATCAGTTATAAGAGGAAGACTGCTGATGGCCTCACCATTCTTCTTGCCTCTTAATCCTTCCCTTAGTTACCTGTTCTATCTTGGAAATGTTTTTTCATGAGCTATCAACAGCAAAATAAATTCGATTTGCATGAAAAATTTATATAAAAAGTGAGACCATAGAAATGCTAGGTGAAAATATGGATTAAGATGGACGAATTTGGGATGCAAAAGACTTTTAAGTTTAACAGTGAAAATAATAAATATGACTACTTAACCTACCAGTAAGACAGTTTGAAAACTGAGTAAAGCAGAAAACACCGTGATCTACATGTGAAGTGAAAAACTGTGGAGAAATATTTTTAACTCATATGGTAAATAAAGTGTTTATAACCCTCAATATGTATTTTTCACAAACCATTCAAGTGGAAAAAACGGGTAAAGTACTTGATTACACAATTCAGAAAAGAATAATACAAATGGCTTATGAAAACATGTATAAATTCACAAATTACTGAGAGATAAAAGTGAGATATTTTTCTTTCTCCTCTTATTCCTTTATTTCTCGGTCAGCATATAAATGATTGGAATGTTTGATGACAACCAATGTTACCAAGAATGTACGGGGAGCTCCCTGGTGGCCTGGTGGTTAGGACTCCGAGCTTTCACTGCCAGGGCCCAGGTCTAATCCAGCCAGAAAAAGAGTTAAAAAAAGGTTGTACAGGAACAAGGGCAGATTAGAACATTATTTTCGAGGATTATTTGACAGATTATAACGTGATTTTTAAAGTTTATGTGTCTAAACCTTTGACCCAGGAATTCCACTTCTAGGAATTTATTATAAGCGTTTGAGGCAAGTGCTTGAAAAGGACCATTTCGAGGATATTCTTACAGTGTTTATAATAGTTGAACTTGGAAAGAACCTGAATGTCTTTGTTTCTTTGCTTTTTCTCCTTTTCTCTGTGATTATCATCTCCTAAATGGTCCCATTTATTTCTTGCATGAGTCATTTGAACTGGACTTAACTACAGCTCTTCAGTGGAAATTGGTCCCTATTTGTTCCTTATATGTGAGATAGAAGAGAATTGTTGTCTTCTTTCTAGACTCCAAGCAACTCCAGTATTCACAGCTAAAGTAATGGGAACCATCTTAACAGAAAACTTTTGGGAAACCTTGGTTTAAAGAAAGCCCTTTTAGGGAAGTAACTACCTTACTTGAATCTCTTCCAGATGCTCTTGATAACTGAACAGTTTGAGTCAACAAACATTTATTGAGCACTTTCTAGATGCCAGGCCTATGGCCAGATCTGTTTTTCAGGTCACATCTTTATGAACTAATTAGACACTATATGGACTTCTGTCCAAGTCTCCTACTTTCCTTCTGCAGTTAACATTTCTGTTCTTTAAGTTAAATAAATATTTAAATTTCTAAATTCATGGTTTCTTTGAAGTTAGAACCTTTAGCAGTAGGTCCTACTCTTTCAACACCAGAAACTTCAGATTATCTACAGGCATACATCATTTTACTGAGCCTTATTTTATTGTGCTTCTCTTATGCTGCCCTTTTTTTTTTTTCTTTTTTTTTTTACAAATTGAAGGTTTGTGGCAGTCCTGCATCAAGTAACTTTTTGCTTGATGTGCCATTTTTCAACAGCCTTTGCTCACTTTGTATCTCTGTTTCATTTTGTTAATTCTCACAATATTTCAGACTTTTTCATTACTATTTTTATAGTAATCTGTGATTACTGATCTTTAATGTTACCACAAACAGCTTGCTGAAAGCTCAGTTGGTGGTTAGGAGTTCTTGGCAATAAAGTATTTTTTAAGGTAAGATATGTACATTGTTTTTACAGTGTATTATTTATATACTGTTATATGTTTTGTTATATATATCACATTATATTATTACACATTACAGTATAGTATAAACATTACATTTATATGCACTGAGAAAGCAAAAAATCAATGTGACTTGCTTTATTGCAATATCTGCTTTATTTCAGTGGTCTGAAACCAAACCCATAATACCTTCAAGGTATATCTGTGTATCTGTGATCAGGGTGAATCTTGGCCCTATCTAGTGACATTTATGTTATTCTTCATCAGGTTGAGACTATTCCCACCATCTTTGATGACAACTTCTGAGTACTTGCTAAGGCATTTGTGACTGCTTCATGAATGCTTTTTTGTATTTTAATTATACAACAACGTGTAGCTTCACTATCTATAATAAATTTGGAAGGTTGTGTTCTTTGGGCAGTTTATTTTCATTAGGCTTCTCCCCCTCTTTTTTATTAAAAAGATGTTAAATTTTAAAAAGATTTTTAAAATCCTCACTTTTTAATGAAAAAAAAAAAAAAGTTGAAGTGTTAGTCACTCAGTAGTGTCCAACTTTTTGCAACCCCATTGACTGTAGCCCGCCAGGCTCCTCTGTCCATGGGATTTCCCAGGCAAGAATACTGGAGTGAGTTGCCATTCCCTTCTCCAGTGGATCTTCCCAACCCAGGGATCGAACCTGGGCCTCCCCATTGCAGGCAGATTCTTTACTGTCTGAGCAAATAAGTATTTTAATTTTTCCTTGTATTTGCCTTTCGCTTGCCAGGATACAGGATTTTTTGTCTTCCAATTTTGTTTCTTATTATAAAACATTTTTCTACTTTTTAAACATTGTCTTAACAGCTTTTAAATATCTTGTCATATTGATATAATTTATTTAACACTTTCCCCGATTTTTGCATTTAGGCTGTTTCCAGTTTTTTTTCTGTCGTAAATAAGCTGCAGTTTAAGCATGTAGCTTTTGGTTTTATTGAGTTACTACATTAGGCCACATAAATAACCAATTGTGGAATATCTTGGTCAGAGGGTATTATGACCTTCATTGATTTTGCCACATAACTGCCATTAAAAGCCAAATTGCAAGTGAAAATATAAATAAATAGCTTTGTGTTTGGCTTCTGAAATATATGTGGTTTTTCTTAATAAGCCACAGCATTTGTAGATTTGCCTCAACCAGGTGCAACATTAAGTTCAACTGGTGGTCATCAAGGTGTTAATTGAAAGGTAGGAGAGAAGACAGAGAAGGCAATGGCACCCCACTCCAGTACTCTTGCCTGGAAAATCCCAGGGACGGGGGAGCCTGGTGGGCTGCCATCTATGGGTCGCACAGGGTCGGACACGACTGAAGTGACTTAGCAGCAGCAGCAGAACCATCAGACAGAGTTTAACGTTGTTCCAGATCCCTTCATTGTGTTTCAGACTTGGAGTGTTTAGATTTATTTATTTTATTTCACAGTCTATGCTGGGTCAGTGTAAGGAGCATTGTTGAGATGTGACTCAAATACTTTTTGTTTGTAACTTCCTTTCTGTAGCCTTCATTGGGGTTTTAAGAGACATTTCCTTTCTCAATTTTTAAGAAAATTTAAGAGTGATTTAGGAAAAACATTAAATTATGTTTTATTCTATTACAGGGGAACATTGTTCTTACGGACTATGAATACCTAATTTTAAATATCCTAAGATTTCGAACTGATGAGTCTGATGATGTTAAATTTGCTGTTCGTGAACGCTATCCAATTGATCATGCTAGAGCTGCTGAACCGTTGCTTACCTTGGAAAGGTAACATGTTTTGTATATTAACTCATCTCATACTGTATTAGATAGTAAAAGAGATTTATACGTCAGGATATGAAAGCACTGTCACATAAGGAAATAATTTGTTTACTTGTGTAAAATAAATTAGGACTGCTTGAATTATATGAATGTGCACTTGAATGTAAACAGTTAAGCCTTATTTGGGAATAGCAAGTGTGTATTTTTTTAATCTTAAGTTTGTTGTTACTTCAGATGTTTATAATTTCTTGGTGAAGTGAGGGGACTTATTAGCTGTTCTTTAAGAAAACAATGGATATCTTAGCAGAGTGCGAAAGGAGATAGAAATTCTAGTTCAGCTAAAAGAAATAGGAATATGGTGGGATAAGGTTCTGACTGTAGCTATAATCTTCTGACTGGAAGACTGCTGACTAAGAGGCTACAACAGTGGTTTTCAAAGTTTAGCATGCATCAGGATCACCTAGAGGGCTTGGTAAAATACAGACTCCATGCACAACTCCCCCTCTGGTTTTTGATTTAAGTATTTCTGGTTTAGGTCCTGGGAATTTATATTTCTAAGGAGTTAGTAGATGAAGTTGATGCTGATTAGGGGGTTGTAATGGCCCACAGCGTCCTTGAGTTCTTTCTAAATGCTTAATTAGGTAAAGCCATTTCAGGTGTTAAGGTATAGTAACAGTGAGGGATAAATTGAGAGATTGGAATTGACATGTACACACTACTGTGTACAAAATAGATAACTAATAACATGTAAAAAGCACAGGGAATTCTACTGTGTAGTGACCTATGTGGGAAAAGAATCTAAAAGAAAGAGTGGATATATGTGTAGGTATAACTGATTCACTTTACTGTACACCTGAAACTAACATTTTAAACCAACTATACTCTAATAAAATTTTTTTTAAAAAGATGGTAACACCAGTCTCCACAAACTACATTTAACTATTGCATAAAACTGTGTCTTTTTATGTCATATGAGCGCACTGATGACAAGCAGTATGACTTAGTTGAAAAAGTATTGGGTTTCTTTGGAAAAGTTGGTTTCGAGTCTCAGCCTGCTGTTCAGGAACCTAGTAACCTTAAATAAGTTGCTTTTATGACTCCCCCCCACCGCTTTGGTTTTAACCTATAGAGTAAAGTAACTCCTCTTATACTTGAGGATATTTTGAAGATCAGGTAAATAGATGCGTGTCAAAGTATTGTGAATATTTCTGTAAGATCTATTAAATACAAGATAGTAAGGGGTGTGTTAATTTTGTTTCACAGATTGACTGAAATACTAGCCAGTGCACCTAAGGGTGAACTATTGAAGAGAGTTCTTAATCCATTACTTCGTGAGTAATCCTACATAGAGCAACAAAGTGCAAAATAATATGGTTTTCAGAAATATGTTTAACACATTCAGATCTAGTTCTAGTAGAAATTTAAATCTAGTAGAAAATTAGAACAACTTGATAAATGTAGGAAGGAGTTTAAAATGATATTTAAATAGAGGTTTATTTTCAAAGAAAGAGAAATTTGTTATACTGTATGCACTTTGACTATTACCTTTTAGATCTTATTTAACAGCAATACAGTTATATAAACTAATAGTATGTTATCTAGTACTTGATTGCTAGCTATAGTTTTCTAAGAAATCAGTTGGTTTTTTCAATGTCATAAGCTTTTTGGTTTAATAACCCACTTAGCTTTGCTGGGTTTTCTTTATTTTTGCTTTTTGATTTTTATTGGTGAGTCTCAGAGCATTCCAGGGTCTGCCTGGTACTGTTGATAACCAGCATAAAGATTTTCCAATAAACTTTAATACTTGAGAAAAGTCATCACTTATCTCTGTATTAAGGAGTCTGAAAAGGACATATGAGAAGACAGGTACCATTGATTACTAAGGGAGTTACTCTTCCTCTCCTACGAAATTAGAATGCATTAAGAAGTTATTTTGAAAACTTTCCATTAGTTAGTATAACATGTGAAATTTGTAAGTTTGGATTTTTCAATAGAAAAATTTTTATTCTGTTAATGTGATATATTACATTAACCAGTTTTTGGATGCTAAACCAACCTTGCATCCCTGGTTTATAATCCTTTTTATATGTGGCTAAATTCCATTAAATTCTTGTAACTTTTACACTGACTTCCTCAGGTTTATTGTCTCAAATTTTTATAAGTAATTTCTAGTAACTATCATTTCTGATAACATTTCAAAATAAATAAACCAATTGTTATTTTCACTGGTTACTGCTATTGAGTAGATGACTTATATTGGGATATACATTAGTATTATATTTTGAATGTGAAATTTTATAGGAAAATACTACAAATAATATCCTTTGCTTTTATAGCGTATGGGCCCGCTCTCATTGAGCATTGTCTTATAGAAAATGGATTCCCTGCCAATGTCAAAGTGGATGAAAAATTTGAAAGTAAAGGTATACGTGCATGCTCCAAGTTTTGCCCATTTTTATTTATTTCATTTTTTTAAACCTGTGAAAATTATTTCTGGGAAAAGTAATCAGTGAGTGCGTAGTTTTAAAAACAATTTGACCTATGAGTATTCTGTCCTCATATGATATTCCTGACTTTGTACTCTAATGTGACATTTTATCCCTAGTAACATGCAGTTTAATCTCTTGATTTACCCTATTACCTTTCAATTATGAAATATTCTTCCTCCCTCCTCCTAAATTTTTGAAGGGGTTACTGCACTTGAGACAATCTCTGGAGGCTTGAAGGAGTTGAATTATTCACCTTCAGATTCAGCGCCTGAGGTGTTTCTAGAAGTAGCATTATTTATGGATTTTAACTCTGTAAGTGCTGTGCTGTGACTACATAATGGATTAGGCTTTTGCAACTACTTAAATTCACTTTCTAGATTAATTAAACCTAAATTAACTTCCAGATTAGGATAATAAAAAATTATAGGAAATATAAGGAAAATGGAAGATTTCGTCTTTGACAAGTTTTTATCTGCAGATTCTCATGTAAAATTTTTTAAAAAATCATTTTTGCTATTAATATTTTGGGATTATATATTATTTCTTAAGGTTTAGGGATCATTTTTATGCTGTCAAATTTTTTTGTGAATTTAAAAATATAAACTGAATGTTTGAAATGAATGATTTAGTTTCTGGAGTATATAATTCAGTGCAGTCCTGTTCAAAATGCCAACAGGTGGTATTGCTAATTTTGGTATTACACTTCCTTTTTAAAATAAATCTGATATGTGCAATAAAAAGCATATATAAATGTTCAGGAAAACTCTGGAAAATAATAGTAATGATAGAAAATAATCTTTTAATAGATTAAAATGCATTATGAAACTGTAGTAATTAAGTTTTGGAAGAAGGAATACACAGCATAAAGAATTCAGAAACAAGCCCAAATATATGTGAGACTTTAGCATATAAACAGAAGTACCTTTTAGATCATGAGGGGAAAGATGGATTCAATAAAAGCTGTTGGGACAACAAGCTGACCAAGATATATTCTTATTTAATACATTGATTATAAGCATGAAATAACTAATTTTCTTAAATAACTTTATTATTTCATAAGCACTTTCTATTTTCTGCATAGATGTTTGGTAATAGCTAATGGACAATTGATTGGTATTCATTCTTTCCTTTCTTATTTCCCTATTAGATATTGAAAAAGTACTTGTTTGTCTACAGAAAGCAGAAGAGTATATGAAAACAACATCCAACTTCAATGGAAAGGTAGTGCCACATGATACTTGCTATATATTGTTGTGGCTTAGATATTAGAATTTTCATTGAAGGATCAGTATATGTAAATTTTTTGTTGTAATTTGGAAATTTAACACCTGTAATATGCTTATTCTAAGGTAGTTTTTTTTTTTTTTAATTGCTGTTGGTTTCTGATTTTTGTTCTGTTCCCTAAATCTTCTACAAAGTACTGGGTCAGTATCAGCACTCACAGAAGTTTGAGGAATTTGAAGATATTTCCTCTTAGGTTGATTTTTAGATAGAAAAGCACATTTTAATTTGCCTTCGCTTTCCAAAAATTTACAACATCTTTTTAATTATTAAATATCTGCTGAATTACCTCATATCTTGTTTTTCTCCTAGTCCAAGTATAACTTCACTTACAAAAAAGTTTAGGAAAAGTTCTGATTATTATAACTAAATTCAGTCCAAATATACCCTTCACCCAGTTATTAAAATGAACTAAAATTTCCTACCAGTAGTGTGAACCAAAGACTTTTTCTGCTGGAAGTAAAGTGCTTTTGGCTCTTTTAAATTGCAGAACATCTGAAAAATGGAAGAAAAGAGCAAAATGCATATGTATAATTCCACTACTTTATCAACTCATTAATATTCATTTTATTTATTCCCTGTTTTTCTCTTGTCCATGTGAATTAGTAGGGTCTAATGATTGTTTCTAATCCTTAATAACATCATTTTGAGAAGTGATGCAATCAATAGACAAATCCTACTGATTATTTTTAACTAGAATAATTTTATAAGTTAATAAAGTCAATATCATCCAAGGAAGTAAATCTTTGTTAATTATAAATAGAAATTAGTTTTAATGTTGGATTTTTGTAGGGGTATATCATTCAGAAAAGAGAAATAAAACCAAGCCTGGAAGTAGATAAGCCAACTGAAGACATACTCACGTAAGTATGTAGGCATGGGTCTGTTTGCTTTGGGTGTTTATTAATGTTCTTGAATGTGATATAGTAAATATGTTTTACAGGTATGAGGAATTTCATCCTTTCTTGTTTTCTCAACATTCACAATGTCCATATATAGAATTTGAATCATTTGACAAGGTGGGTTTTCTGATTCTGTTTTTTGACCAGTTAGCATGATATGAATTGTTAGATTAATCCAGCTTCCTTTGAGAAATTGAAAATATTTTTGCTTTACAATCACTATAAATCTGGACATTAAAAATCGGTGAGGTCACAGATACAGACTGTTGGAAAAGTTTGTTGCCACTTTATTTTAAGATGAAGGACCAAAGATCTGAACTTAATTTGATTCTTGACTGTTTAGCTGTATAATACATTTACTGGAAATCTGCTCAAGTTCTTCGAGTGGTGTTATGAAACAAAATGAACTCTAAAATTGTGTGTATGAAAGTTGATGCAGAGACCATATTTTTGGGGTTTTTTTTTCCAGCTGGTTGATTGTCTTTTTCTTTTTTTGATAAGGCCGTAGATGAATTTTATTCCAAGATAGAAGGTCAGAAAATAGATTTAAAAGCTTTACAACAGGTATGGTATTATTAAAAACATTTATATTAAACCTTAAGTGTGGTTTATATAAAACCACACTTTAATATAAATAGCATGATATTTAATATAATTTATTATATTAAATTTATTTAATATAAGCTGGCCTTAAGTATGGTTTGCTGGGTAGATGATGCTCTCATACAGAAATGGATAGCCTTTTAGAAGTAGTATGGGGGAAAGAAAGGAGCAGTATGGGAATGCCCTGATCTCTTGGGATATTGATAAAGGTCTAGGGGAACCGGGGTGTTTGTTTTGTTTTGTTCTTTGTTTTTGGGAACCAGTGTTAAACAGACAAAAACCCCGCTCCTTTGCTCTATCAGAGTATCAGATACTCTCTAAACCAGAAAATACAGTGACAAGGACGCCTGTTATTTATTCCCTAGTACAATGTGCTTTATTACAACTACCCAGAGCTTCTCAAACTTTGCTGTAAAAGGAATAGTGTTTCAAGGAGGAGATTTTTAAATGGGCCAAAGGAGTGAAAGTGAAGTGAAAGTTGCTCAGTTATGACCAACTCTTTGCAACTCCATGGACTGTAGCCTGCCAGGCTTCTCTGTCCATGGAATTCTCCAGGCAAGAATACTGGAGTGGGTTGCCATGCCCTTCTCCAGGGCATCTTCCCAACCCACAGATCAAACCCAGGTCTCCCGCATTGCAGGCGTATTCTTTACCATCTGAACTACCAGGGAAACCCCGGGCCGAAGGAGAGGGAAGTGTTTTCAGCACATGTGTTAAAGTGGTCTTTTGAACCAGACCTTTATATAGTTTGTGTGCATCGTGACTCCGCAAGGAAGGTTTAATACGCTGTGTTTTCGCAGCACATCTGACCATGTTTAAGGGGCTCTCACTGCAGAGAAGTTTTAGAAAATGGCCACAGTCACTCTTGAGTTCAAGGAGATTTGATTTTTAAAAATATTCATAAGATCTTAAAATATGTGTGCAAAAACTTTACATGAATGCCTGTGTCCTCCCCACCCTCAGTTGTTTTTTTAAAAAAATTAGTAAAAATCAGAATTTCAAAGCAGGTGGGTTTCCAGTTACACAGTATGATTGCCACATGGTGGCAGCACTTTATCAAGTAAACATGTTTAAGGGTAACATTGAATCCCATATTTTTATGTGCGTCAGAATAAGCATGGATTATATTAGCAATTGTTGTACATTCTTTTAAGAGTCACCATTCTTACAATTTAAGTATTTTTAATATTACATCCAGCATGCAAATATTCATTTAGTGGTAATGCTCTGACTATTGTGAAAAATTAGCTCCCATATCAGTAAGTTGTGTGGAACTTAAAATGTAAGTTCCAGGTGATAAAATGCTACACAGTCATCCCTCACTGCCTGCAGTGGATTGTTCCAGGACCCTCTGTGGGTACCAAAATCCAAGGATTTTTACAAAATGGTATAGTACAATGAATATAGTCAACCTCCCATATCTATAGGTTTTGTATCTGCAGATACTGAGTACTGACTATAAAAGGTCAGATAACTACCATGAGCCTTTGTGTAATTTAGGAAAAAGAATAGATACAAATAAGAGAAATTAAAAACAGCAATAAAATAAAAAGAAGCTATTTTAGGAACTCATGCTAAGGATGCGTTCCCCCGAACTTTACATTTATGTCATAGGGGAAAATGTCTTGAATTCTGCCTTGAATAACACAAGGGCATTAGGGGCATATCTTAAATATACATTCCTAAGTAGGGAATGGGAGGTAGATGGTCAGGAGAGGTAATTTTGGAGCATGAAACACTTTGGGGTAGGATAGACCTGGGGAGGTGGACTACAGGGAGCTTCAGCCAGCTAGTAACAACATTGAGGAGGCAGAAGTAGGGGTGGGAGAGTGAGTCTCAGGAGGTAAGAGAGAAGGTACAGATGGTAGAATAAATCTGATTTTTAAAAATTCTGTTTTGTCAACAAAAGGAAAAACAGGCATTGAAGAAATTAGATAATGTCCGAAAGGATCACGAAAACAGATTAGAAGCTCTTCAGCAGGCTCAGGTACCATGTTTAGCTTTCTTTCAGATACTTTTTCAGAAATGGGAACTTTAACTGGCATTGAAACAAATGTTTTTTTGGCTTATTTCTTAAGGAAATAGACAAACTTAAAGGAGAACTTATAGAAATGAACTTACAAATAGTTGACAGAGCCATTCAGGTTGTTCGAAGTGCTTTAGCCAACCAGATAGATTGGACGGAAATCGGGTTAATTGTGAAAGAAGCCCAGGCTCAAGGAGACCCTGTTGCAAATGCAATCAAAGAATTAAAACTACAGACAAACCATGTAACAATGCTGCTAAGGTAAGTTTGATTCTTAGTTAAGCAGTTAATGTTTATTTCGCTGTTTAATTTTTCACTGTATTCATTAAAAATTTATTTGAAAACTTTTCTTTGAAAATACTGGGAAACATTAATTTACATTAAAATAATGCAACTTTTTAAGTACTGTAGACCATTTATAATTTCATTGAGAAAAAAATTGAAAATAAGAAAGTGATGTCATTGACATTAGTGAAATACTATTGAATATTTTTAATAGAAATCCATACTTGTTATCAGAGGAGGAAGATGACGATGTTGATGGTGACGTCAGTACTGAGAAAAATGAAACCGAACAGCCAAAAGGAAAAAAAAAAAAGCAAAAGAATAAGCAACTGCAGAAGCCTCAGAAAAACAGGCCATTGCTTGTTGATGTTGATCTCAGCTTGTCAGCATATGCCAATGCCAAAAAGTAAGTCACAAATTTAAGTATAAATTAAATTTATTTATTTTTTGGCTCTGTTGTAAGGCATGCGAGACTTTAGTTCCCTGACCACCAGGGATCAAACCTATGTCCCTTGCAGTGAAAACACGGATTCCTAACCACTGGACTGCCAGGGAATTCCCATAAGTATAAGTTTTAGGTAAAATATTACCTGCAATAAATCTGTTAGGGTATTATGGATAAGAAGTATTATTTTGACTATATATACTTTGGGGCGAAATACTTTTCAGAAAATATTTTAAAACCTTGTGCATTATTTAACTTTTTCCTATACAACATACAAAACAAAGTTACATAATGTGCAAAACTTGTTCTTAATTGAGAGTCTGTAAAATTAGGAATAATGTAAATGGAAAACTGAAGTATAAAGATTTTATCTAAAATTAAGAGATATTTTTCTAGGTATTATGATCACAAGAGATATGCTGCTAAGAAAACGCAGAAGACTGTTGAAGCTGCTGAGAAGGTACTTAATATGTTTTAGAGTAAACGTTCATTGTTTTTCTCTGCCTTATTAATTTAATGGACTTAATTATTTCTTTTTAATCTCAAAAATGACAGAATGATCTCTGTCAAATCCCTTATGACTATACAGTGGAAGTGAGAAATAGATTTAAGGGACTAGATCTGATAGACAAGAGTGCCTGATGAACTATGGATGGAGGTTCATGACATTGTGTAGGAGACAGGGAGCAAGACCATCCCCAAGAAAAAGAAATGCAAAAAAGCGAAATGGCTGTCTGAGGAGGCCTTACAAATAGCTGTGAAAAGAAGAGAGGCAAAAGGCAAAGGAGAAAAGGAAAGATACACCCATTTGAATGCAGAGTTCCAAAGAAGAGCAAGGAGAGATAAGAAAGCCTTCCTCAGCGATCAGTGCAAAGAAATAGAGGAAAACAACAGAATGGGAAAGACTAGAGATCTCTTCAAGAAAATCAGAGATACCAAGGGAACATTTCATGCAAAGATGGGCTCAATAAAGGACAGAAATGGTATGGACCTAACAGAAGCAGAAGATATTAAGAAGAGGTGGCAAGAATACACAGAAGAACTGTACAAAAAAGATCTTCACGACCCAGATAATCATGAAGGTGTGATTACTCACCCTCACCTACGGCTGGACATCCTGGAATGTGAAGTCAGGTGGGCCTTAGGAAGCGTCACTGCACATAAAGCTAGTGGAGGTGATGGAATTCCAGTTGAGCTATTTCAAATCCTAAAAGATGATGCTATGAAAGTGCTGCATTCAATATGTCAGCAAATTTGGAAAACTTAGCAGTGGCCACAGGACTGGAAAAGGTTAGTTTTCATTCCAGTCCCAAAGAAAGGCAATGTCAAAGAATGCTCAAACTACCACGCAGTTGCACTCATCTCACACGCTAGTAAAGTAATGCTCAAAATTCTCCAAGCCAGGCTTCAGCAATACGTGAACCGTGAATGTCCAGATGTTCAAGCTGGTTTTAGAAAAGGCAGAGGAACCAGAGATCAAATTGCCAATATCCACTGGATCATTAAAAAAGCAAGAAAGTTCCAGAAAAACATCTGTTTCTGCTTTATTAACTATGCCAAAACCTTTGACTGTGTGGATCACAATAAACTGTGGAAAATTCTGAAAGAGATGGGAATACCAGAACACCTGACCTGCCTCTTGAGAAATCTGTATGCAGGTCAGGAAGCAACAGTTAGAACTGGACATGGAACAGACTGGTTCCAAATAGGAAAAGGAGTACATCAAGGCTGTATATTGTCACCCTGCTTATTTAACTTATATGCAGAGTACATCATGAGAAATGCTGGGCTGAGGAATCACAAGCTAGAATCAAGATTGCCAGGAGAAATATCAATAACCTCAGATACGCAGATGACACCACCTTTACGGCAGAAAGTGAAGAAGAACTAAAGAGCCTCTTGATGAGAGAGAAAGAGGAGAGTGAAAAAGTTGGCTTAAAGCTCAACATACAGAAAACTAAGATCATGGCATCTGGTCCCATCACTTCATGGTAAATAGATGGGGAAACAGTGGCTGACTTTATTTTTCTGGGCTCCAAAATCACTGCAGATGGTGATTGCAGTCATGAAATTAAAAGATGCTCCTTGAAAGGAAAGTTATGACCAACATAGACAGCCTATTAAAAAGTAGAGACATGACTTTGCCAACAAAGGTCTGTCTAGTCAAGGCTATGGTTTTTTTCAGTGGTCATGTATGGATGTGAGAGTTGGACTGTAAAGAAAGTGAGCGCTGAAGAATTGATGCTCTTTTTTTTTTTCATTTATTTTTATTAGTTGGAGGCTAATTACTTTAAAATATTGTAGTGGTTTTTGTCATACATTGACATGAATCAGCCATATACAGAATTGATGATGCTCTTGAACTGTGATGTTGGAGAAGACTCTTGAGAGTCCCTTGGACTGCAAGGAGATCCAACCAGTCCGTCCTAAAGGAGATCAGTCCTGGGTGTTCGTTGGAAGGACTGATGTTGAATTGAAACTCCAATACTTTGGCCACCTGATACAGAGAGCTGACTCATTTGAAAAGACCCTGATGCTGGGAAAGATTGAGGGCAGGAAGAGAATGGGACAACAGAGGATGAGATGGTTGGATGGCATCACCGACACAATGGACATGGGTTTGGGTGGACCCCGGGAGTTGGTGATGGACAGGGAGGCCTGGCATGCTGCGATTCATGGGATCACAGAGAGTCAGATACGACTGAGCGACTGAACTGAATTGAACTGAATTATTTCTTCTATTTTTAAATGAGATTTTCAAATTCAGAAATACCTTTCAAATTTAATTTTGCTTAAAATGTGTGTATTTCCAGTATTTATTTTCTCCCCTAAGCCTTTCTTCCCCGGAGTTCTCTCAGTAATTTCCCCTTTGCTCAAGTTAAAAACACTGGTGTCATCTTGGACTTTTCTCATATTCAGTAAGTCCTTTTAAATAGAAATGAAGTGATTATTCTCTGTTCAGACTCTTCCAGTTTCTTCCTGTCTTATTTAAGACACTGTAAAGCCCTTCTGGCCCATCAGGTCCTACACAATCTACTTCCCTTTGATCACATCACCTATCCTGTTACATGGGGCTTCCCTGGTGGCTCAGTCAGTGAAGACTCCACCTGCAGTGCTGGAGACTAGAGTTTGATCCCTGGTTTGGGAGTTCCCCTGGAGAAAGAAATGGCACCCCACTTCAGTATTCTTGCCTGAAGAATCCCGTAGACAAAAGAGCTTGGTGGGCTGTAGTCCATGGGGTCAACAAAAGTTGGACATGATTTGGCAACTGCACCACACAGTTACACATTCTTTCCAACTACAGTGGGATCTTAAGCTGTTCTACAACAGTGGCCCATACTACTTTCTCAGGGCCTTTGCACTCGCTGCTCTTTCTTCCAAGAATGTTCTTCCCTCAGATTTTTCGTGGTTGGATCCCCCTCTTCATTCATGTGTCTACTTAAATAAGCCTTTATCAGAAAGGCCTTTTTGGACCACTCTTAGTAAAAATACGACTGCCCTCAATTTCTCTTGACTCTTTGTTTTTCTTGTTTAAAAACATACACCCCAACATATGATTATCTGTCTTCTCTCTAGAATGTAGATTGCATGAACATGGGATCTTTTATCTGTTTTATTCATTGCTGTGTCCCAGTGCCTAGAATATTGCTTGGAACCTAGTCACACTAAAATCTGTTAAACGAATGGCCTTCATGACTTAGTTCTATCTTCCTCTCTGCCCTCATTTTTTGACATTTTACCCTGTGATCATACTTGCTGGTCAAGCTGCCTTTTTCCTTATCTTTTTATTCTTTGCATTGGTAATTCCATTAATCCTTCAGGCTTCAGCCTAAGTGCCATTTCCTCAGAAATACCTTTGACCATAATCAGTTATAAATCTAGGTTACCTTGTTATACTCTTGTAGCATCCTTTGTAGCATTTACCATGTTTATTTGAATAATTATGTATTTATATATCTCTTCTCCTAGACCCCAATGAATTATTCATTGTTGTGTCTCTGACATCTAGCCCCAAATCTACTGTATGGTTGCACTGATTATTTGGCAAACAAATGAACTGTTTGAACCCCCCCCCCCCCCATTTTTTGGTAGGTCTTAATCAGATATTTGTTTAAAATCATTTTAATATTTAAGGCAGAGTTTTTTTCATTACTTTCATGTGCATGTTGTGTGTATTAATATATAGATTGCGTCATTTTGTGGCATTTAAACTATTTCTTGCCCTATCATTTACTTGGTATTATTTAAATAAATTTTTCAACAAATTACTTAAAAACTCTTTTCTTATAAATAGGCATTCAAATCAGCAGAAAAGAAAACAAAGCAAACCTTAAAAGAAGTCCAAACAGTTACCTCTATTCAAAAAGCAAGAAAAGTATATTGGTAAGTGTTCATTTTTAAAATATATTTTGTTTTTATCAAACTTCTACATGCACATTGTTTAGAAAATCAAGCAGTTCTACAAAGCCTGTTAAAAACCGCTAACCCTGCAAGCTTTTGCAGCTAGTGGTCTCAGAGTTGTGGCATGCGGGCTCCCGAGAGGGCAGGCTCTAATAGTTGTGGCGTGTGGGCTCTCTAGTTGTCGCCCATGGGCTTCGTTCCTCTATGGCATGTGGGATCTCAGTTCCCTGAGCAGGGATTAAAGCCATGTCACCTACATTGCAAGGTGGAGTCTTTACTGTTGGACCACCAGGAAAGTCTCTCCCTGCTCCTATTGCCTCCTCTCCCAAGGAAGCTTTTAGTTCTTTCAGCTGATTGTTTCGCTACGTACTTCCGTTTCTCTTAGTAATATATTGCTGACTAATTTTTCTATTTTACACTCTGTTAATAACTTCCCATTATGGAAAGGTGAAGATTTTATTCTTTTCATTTGTGCTCCATTACATACACACACATCACCTAGCTTCTCAATATAGTTACAGCATAATTTTGTCAAGATTGACATTCTGTATTAAGAGTTTTGCTGCTAAGTTGCTTCAGTCGTGTCTGACTCTGTACAACCCCATAGACGGCAGCCTAACCAGGCTCCTCCATCCATGGGATTTTCCAGGCAAGAGTACTGGAGTGGGTTGCCATTGCCTTCTCCGGTTAATAGTATTATGGATATTTAAATTGTAGTCACAGCTGGATCGTATAGTATTCTGCTTTCTTTTCCTTTCCTGCTCAGCATTTTATCTTCCCTGAAGTTAATGATTGTATTGTTTCATTTGCTTTCTTTTTCTTTTGTTCTTAATTATGTTCAAATTCTCTTTCAAGTATGTTCAAACAATTGAAATCTTATCAGTATCATCTCCTTGCAGAAGTCTTCACTGGAGCTTTTTGATCTACTTTGTTCTAGATGGTTTCTCTAAGCATTTTTAATTTTCCTTTGATTATTATTCTGCAAGTTCTCTTTAACCTCTCTCTCCTGAATCTCAAATTTCCTTTTTCTTTGGTGATGGACCGTGTGGTCTAGAAACTTCATGAAAAGGAGTATGTAAGAGGTAAAGCTTTGAGGTCTCCAATGTATAAAAAAATTATTTTACTCTTAACAGTTTTGATGGGTATTGAATTCTAATTTGAAAATGTTTTCCTCAGACTTTTGAAAAGGCATTTTCCATTGTCTTAACTTCCAGATTTGATCTTGAAGTTTGGTGTCATTTGACAGTTGAATTTTAATAGGAAACTTGTTTTTACCTTTCTGTAAGCTTCTGGATCTTTTTTGTTTTCTCTTAATTTTCCAAAATTTCACAAGAATATAGTGAATATGTTGGTGAGGATGTTTTTATCCTTATGCTGGATAATTTGTGAGCCTTTTTCATTTGGAAACTGAGAAATTTTCTCGAACAATTTCTTAGAAAATCAGCCACCCTCTGTTTGTTTTTTGTTTTGCGTTCTTTTTCTTACTTTCTAAAAGTCTTTATTTTGTACATATGGGACCCCATCAACAGTTCTCCAGTTTTACTGCATTGTTTTTTTCCATCTCTCTCTTTTTGTTGTGTATTCTGAGATTTTTTTTCAACTTTATCTTCAATCCTTCCATTGAATTTTTTGATCTTCTATTTCTATCATGTTTAAATTTTGAGCTATTTTTGGTTATTTCAATGTTACTTAAAAAACTTACTGTTTTTTAACAGTACATTTCTTTATAATTGAGAATAGTTTTGCTGTATTACATTTTATTTAGTATTGTTTTCTTAACAGGTCTGTCTTCTCCAAGTTTCTTTTTTCTATTTTTTTAGTTCTGTCTCCAGTGTTCAACTTGTGTTGAACTTGTGTCTGGTGATCCTTGACTGTCTGCTCATGTTTTCTAGTAGAACAGTAAAATGCTGATTGGAAGTTCTTTTGTGGTTTGTTGGACTTGTAAAATAATCTGTGTGGTCCATTTTCTGTACAACTCTTAATGTCTTTTTGTCACTTCTTTTTGCCTCTTCAGCTGGTCTCCTTTCCTAGAAAAGCTTCTTTTGCTTATGCTTGTCAAGTGAAGACTTAGCTGTCTCCGTTTTAGGAGCCCAGTGGAAATAATAAGCTAGAGAGCCTTAGTATCCAGTATTTCATACATTTACTTAATTGCCCTATCTTTACATATTAATATATGTAATTTGTGATTTATTTCCCCTAGTCCAGTAATCCTCTTTGTACCCTTTTTAGAGATTTAATTTCTGGCTTTTCTGTTAGAATGTTGAAGGGGTAGTTACCACCATGTTCAAAGCTGGAAAGATCTAGGGAAGTTGTTACTTCTTAATCAGATTTTTAGCCAGCCTTTCTGTTTTAAACTTCATCTTAAACCCTATTTCTAGCAGTACTTTGTGCTTTTTATGGGTCACACAAGTGTAAGTTGATTTGTTTCTTGACTTTTTGCACCATCAGCTTAGGATTCAGCTTCTTGAGTCGGCTCACTTGTCCATTTATTTTCCAGCTTTCAAAATTTTTTTGCTTTTTTCTTTTCTCTCTCTCTAACATCTCTTGAATATCCTTGACCTGTAATTTTCATTTCTCATAATGCTTTTGTTAGCTATTGATACAAGATTATATTATCTCATAAAACAACTGAGAAGTGTTCCTTTGTCAACTGTCCTTGATGGAAGTCATCTGAGATTTTCTTTATGGGAAAGTTTTTCATTACAGATTCAAATTCTTTAGTAATAGGACCACTCAGATTTTCTAGTTTTGGTTAGCAATGCTTTTCTAAGATGTTGTCTATTTTGTCCAAAGTTTGAAATTTATTGGCAAAAAGTTTATAATATCCAATTTAGCCTTCTTTTCTTTTTTTTGGCTGTACCGTGTGGCATGTGGGATCTTAGTTCTCTGGCCAGGGGTCAAACCTGTGTCCCCTCTAGTGAAAGCATGGAGTTTTAACCACTAGTTCATCAGGGGAGTCCCTCCACTGAACTTTCTATCACTAGAATCTTTAATTACTTCTCCATTTTCATTCAAGAATTATTTGTGCCTTCTCTTTTTCTTAATTAATCTGACTAGAGGATTTTCAGTAGTATTAGGATCCTTGAAAAACTAGTTTTTAACTATTGATCTCCATATTATATATGTGCTATTTTAATAATTATTTTCATCTTTGTACTTTTCTTTGGGGTTTTTTTTTTTTGCATTTCCCTTTCTGATTTCTGGAAACAGAAGCTTAGTTCATTTTTTTTTTCCCCCTCCCTCAGCTTCTTTTCTAATATATTTAAGCAATAAATTTATATCAACATGGCTTTATCTGCATTTAAAGCATTTTGTTGTTTAGTATTTTCATTATCTTTCATGTCAAGATATATTCTCATTTCCAGTGTGATTCCTCCACCCGTGCATTATTTAGAAGTATATGTCTTACTTTCCGAACATATTGAGAGGGGGATTGGTTATATTTTTGTTACTAATTTTTAGCTTAATTTGTGTAATAGAGATGGTATTCTGTACCTCAGACATTTGATGTTTGTTGAAACTTGTTTTCTGGTCCAGTCTATTTATAGACAAGCTTTATTTATAAATGTTTCATGTATAATTGAAAAGAATGTCTTTTCTAGAGTTATTGAGTACATTTCTTTAAATATCAAGTCATGTTTATTAATCATGTTCAAATTTTTGGCACCTTTGATTCTTTTTAATGATTGTTTTTCCAATTACTGAGAGAGATGTGTCGAATATCATACAATTGTGGATTGTCGCTCCTTTTACTTTTGCATTTTTGCTTCATATATGTTAAGGCTATCTAGTTAGGTAATACCAATGTAGAACTGTTTTATCTTTTCAGTGAATTGAGCCTTTTATTAATTTTAATGAAATGTCCTTTTAACTTACATCTATTTTATCTGTCTATGCGAGATGTTCAGACTGTTTCAACTGGTTTTGGTTTGTGTTTGCATGGTATTATCTTTTGCCATCATTGTATTTCAACATTTTTATATCCTTATGTTTTAAAGGATATATGTATTGTTTTTTTCCCAGTCTGATAGTCTTTGCATTTTACCTGGAAAAATGACTGTGTATGTGTGTTAGTCACTCAGTCATGTCCAACTGTTTGTGACCACATAGACTGTAGCCCACCAGGCTCCTCTGTCCATGAATTCTACAGGCAAGAATACTGGAGTGGATTGCTGTTCCTTTCTCCAGGGTATCTGCCCAATCTGGGGATCGAGCCTAGGTCTCTCTCATTGAAGGCAGATTCTTGACCATCTGAGCCACCATGGAAGCTCCAAGAGAATTGACTGTGTTTATATTTAATACAGTTTCTGATATATTTTGGTTTAGATCTTCTTACTGTTTGCTTTCTAAGTGTCATGTGTCATTCTATGTTCTTTTTTGTCTTCCTTATTGCTTTCTTTTGATTAGTTGACTTTTTTTTTGGCCTGTTAGTTATGCATTCCTTTGCTAGGATGATTACAAAATATATCCCTAATTTACCTTTCTCATTCTTTTTGTCCTTATTGGGTATATGTCATTTTACAAACCTTTTTACCATCAGTGGGAAGTGGTTGAATCGATAGTACATCCATTCAGCAATGAGGAAAATATATTTTTAAGTAAAAAGAGAAAAAAAGATGCAGAACAGTGTGTTGTGTCTAAAAATGAAAAGGTTTAGAATAAGCAGTTTATTTTAGCTTTTTTATATATGAAGAAATACTTGAGAGGGGTACATCAGAAGCTAATGGCTCCTTGGTCAGTAGCAGTGGTAGAAGATAAAGAGATGTAGGATCTCTCAATCTACATTTCTATATAGTCTTAAATTTTGAACCATGTATGTGTATTACTTAATAAAAAATCATTTTAGAAAATAAGAGTAGAATCCTTCTGCTGTTATATTTGATATGAGAGTTTCGTTTAATGCCTGTGTTCAACCTGTCTTTTTTTTTTTTTTTTTTTTTAATTTATTTGGCTATGCTAAGTCCCTTAGTTGCAGCATGAGGGGTCTAGTTCTTTGACCAGGGATCAAACCCAGTCCCCCTGCATTGGGAGTACAGAGTCTTAGCCACTGGACCACCAGGGACGTCCCCAATCTATCATATTTAGTCAGAAATTTTAAAATTGTAGGTTAAATCATAAAAAGATGATCCTACTAGTCATAAGTAGCATAGAAATATTTATGTTCATCTCATTTTCTAAGTATCATACAAATATACACTCTTCACTTAAAAAAAAACACCTTATTTTGTATTGGGGTGTATAGCTGGTTAACAGTGTTGTGGTAGTTTCAGGTGAATAGCGAAAGGACTCAGCCATACATATGCATGTATCTGTTCTCCCTCAATCCTGCCTCCCATCCAAGCTGGCACATAACATTGAGCTTAGTTCCATGTGCTATACAATAGGTCTTTGCCATTTTAAATATAGCAGTTAACACTTTTTTTTTTCCTGTGGTGGTATGTACTAACCATGAAAACCCAAGTTAATTTGCTTCTTCAGAAAAGTTGTAATTTTACACTTCTGATGACAATTTTTGGTTTTACGTATTTTAAGTGTAAAGAATGTCACATATGTAAACATTCAGTTGATTGAGGACAGGATGGGAAAGCAATTTTTCCTTCTTACCTGCAGTCCCAAAGAATATCTAGTGCCCCACTGAAAGAGAGCTAAAGCTAGGGACCAGGTGACATTTTATGCTTTTTGTAATTCATTTTTACAACTTCAGTCCAAGACTGTCTATATGGGAAGGAGATAAAGAGAGAACATTTTTTTAAACATAATATTAAATGGCTTTCTACTAAGACTGTCTTAAGAATATCCTAAGGCAATTTATTACAAGTTTTCAGTAAAATTCAGCTTGATATCTTAAGAAAAGAAATTAAGCCATCAAGTTGTCTTAACCTACATGTAGAAGAGCCTTCTGGTTCATTTTGTTGATTAAAAGGATCTGAATTCAGGCAACTATGAAGGGGAAAAAATGTTAACTTTTTTCTTTAAAATTTGGTAGGTTTGAGAAATTCCTCTGGTTCATTAGCTCAGAGAACTATCTAATTATTGGTGGACGAGATCAGCAACAGAATGAAATAATTGTGAAAAGATACTTGACACCAGGTAAGTAAGATTAAAATTCGAAAGAATTTTCTCTTAAGTAATTGAATTGGTTATCTCAGTATTAGGTGTAGATTTTCATCTTGTACTCCTTTGTTTGACAGATTTAATTGGTAGTTTCATGGTTTATGGTTGAATATGTGCTCTGATACTTAATTCTCATTTTAAGTGAATATTCCTAAAGGATTAATGCTGAGGTAATCTGTAGTATTAGATTTCTGATTTTCTGCTACATTAACAAAATAGCTTTTAATTCTCCAAAGTGGCTGTACATCAGATTTTTTAAAGCTTAATTTTTAAATGCTGAAGTTTGTAAACATTTTACGCATTTAGAAACAGGGCTTCACCCCTGTGTTGTAAGGCCTCTCATTTGTTTTTGTTTGCTGATAACCATCACTTCACTGTGGCTGAACCCTCAGTATGGGTATCAGAAATCAATAATCAATATCAGAGCTAATGTTATGTCCTTTGAGGATTCAGAAGCGAAAGAAAACAACAGGGTTCAGGTTACATGGTACCCAGGGCTTGCTCTCTGTCTTCTCTAACTCTATTCATTGTGAGCTGAGCCTTTCATGGAACTGTATGGGCTTTGCTCTTCTTTGAGTTTCAAATCTCAGATGAACTATCCATGGCAAACAGTGGCTGCTCATGTTTTCTGTTAGAAACCAGGCACTTTACTTTTCCCTAGTTGACCATCATCCATGCATTCATCTATTTCCTCATTTATTTATTTGTCATCACACATTTCAGAATAAAACTAGGAGTCCTTATTGTGGCTTACAAGGTTCCTGGCTTTTCTCTAGTCTCATTTCTTTCTTATCTTCAGTCTGGCTTCATGATTGTTTGTCACATTTGTCAACCATCTGTGATTCTCAGGACCTTTGCATTTGCTAGGATGACTCACTCATCACCAAGTTTCTTTCACCAATCAGCAGGCTAGCCTGGGCTCGCTTATATGGTAACTCAGCAAATTTTTGAGAGGAAAAAGAGGAAGCATACAAGGCCTGTCTAGGCCTAGACTGGGAACTGGCCTTTGGTCATGTCTGCCACGTTCTCTTCGTCAAGGGATGGGCCCATATTTCAGTGACAGGGGAGTGGACTCCACCTCCTGATGCAGCTTCAGGGTCATAGAGCAGAGAGGTGTGGATGGAGGGAGGGAGAAGAACTAGGACCATTTTATCTGCCTTCTTAGCATAGCTCTCCTCTGAGGAGGCCTATGAGAAATCCTCCCACAGGTGGGAGATGGTCTTTTCTTTCTTCATTTTCTTTTACGTTTTTGGTTTTGAACCCTTTAAACAACAAATAAACAATTTCAACTTAAGCAGAAATAAGACTTACAGTAGTATTTGTTTGTTTTAAAGGGGACATTTATGTCCATGCTGACCTTCATGGAGCAACTAGCTGTGTAATTAAGAATCCAACAGGTAATGTAATTCATTCTGTTATTCAGAAGTTTAGTCTTTTGTTTGAACTATTTTTAGTATAAGAGAAAAAACACTAATAGAGATAAGGGACACTTTATAATGATGTTTCAATCCATCAATAAGATACAGAGTAGAAATAAAACAGAAAGATCATAGAGAAAATCAATAAAACCAAAGCTAGTTCTTTGAAAAGATCAATAAAATTGATAAACCTTTAACTATACTAACTAAAAAAATAAGATTCAAATTCCTAAAATCTATAGGACTTTTAAAGAAGACTGAACATCAATCCTTCATAAACTCTTCCAAAAGGCAGAAGAGACAGGAACTTTCTAACTCATTCTATGGGACTAGTATTACCCTAATAACAAAACCGGACAAAGACATCACAGCGAAGGAAACCACTGACCAATGTCATTTATGAATAGAGACACAAAAATTCTCAACAGACTATTAGGAAATTGAATCCAGCAGTATATTATAAGGATTATATGTATGATAAAGTGGGATTTATTCCCAGGAATGCAAGGTTAATTTAACATATGAAAATCAGTGTAATACAGTATATTAGTAGAATAGAGGACAAAAACCACATGATGATCTCAATTAATACAAAAAAGCCTTAAAGCCTTTGGTAATAATCTAATACTCATTTGTGATAAAAATACTCAACAAGCTAAGAATAGATGGACACGTCCTCAAGTTGGTAAATAACATCTATAAAAAATCCACAGCTGAAAATCATGCTTAATTGGGAAAGACTGAGAGCTTTCCCCCCAAGATCAGGAATAACATGAGTATATCTGTTCTTGCCACGCTTCTACTCAACATCATATGGAGGTTCTGAGTAGGCCATTAGGCAGTGAAAAGTTTAAAATATCCAAATTGGTAAGGAACAGATAAAAGTGTCTCTGTTTGCAAATGGCATAATCTTACATATTTAAAACCTTAAGGAATCCACCAAAAATTATTAGTTAACAAGTTCAGCAATATCTAGGGTATAAGGTCAATATATAAAATGTCAGTTATGTTTTTATATACTAGTAATGAGCAATATTAAGAGGAAATTAATAAAACATCCACTTATAACAGCATTGAAGAAGAATAAAATATTTAGTAACAAACTTACCAAAAAGATATGCACACCAAACTACAAAACATCATTGAAAGAAATTAAAGAAGATCTAAATAAATGGGAAGATTTCCAATGTTTATAAATTGAAAGTCTTAATATTGTTCTGATGGCAGTATTTCCCACACTAATCAACAAATGTGGTGCAGTCTCTCTCACCATTGCCTGTTTTTGCAGAGATGGACAAAATTCATCCTAAAATTCATGTGGAAATGCAAAGAAACCAGATTAGCCAAATCATTCTTGAAAATGGAGAACAAATTTGGAGTCCTCACACTTCCTCAAAACCTCCTACAAAACAGCTATCAATGTTGTATCAAGACAGTGTGGTATGAGAATGAACTGATAGATTAATAAAGAGAATTGAGATTCCTTGTTTATAGTCAGTTGATTTTTAGCAAGGGTGCCAAGGCCATTCAGTAAGGATAGAATAATCTTTTCAACAAATAGGGCTGGGGCAATTAATATCCATGTGCCAAAGAATGAAGTTAGAAATAGGAACTTCCTACCACTAATAAAAATGAACTCAAATGCATCATAGACCTAAATTTAAGAGCTAAAATTCTAAGACTGTTAGAAGAAAATGAGGTGTAAATCTTCATAATATTGGCTCTGGAAGTCATTGGCTTTGGTGTCATTTTAGATACAACACCAAAAGCATAAGCAACCAAAGAAAAAAACGTAAATTAGAGTTATGCAAAAACTAAAACTTTAATTCAAAGGACTCTATCAAGAAAATTAAAAGACACTCCACAGAATGGGAGAAGATATTTGTAAATCATTTACTTGATAAAGGATCAATATCCAAAACACTGGAACTGTTTTGACTCAACAGTAGAAAGGCAATTTTAAAATGAACAGTTATTAAAATGTCAAATAGATGTTTCTCTAAAGATATACAAGTAGCCCACAAGCACATGATAAGATGCTCAGCATCATTCATCCATTAAGGAAATGCAAATCAAAACCCCAGTGAAATGCCACTTAACACCCACAAGAACATTTAAAAAACACAGTGGAAATTCCTAGTGGTCCAGTGATTAGAACTCCAAGCTGTCTGTGCTGAGGGCTCGGGTTCAGTCACTGGTTAGGGAAAAAAATTCCACAAGCCACACAGGATGGGGGAAAATCCAAATAAAAAAACCAAAAACAGTAATGAGTTGGTGAGGTTGTGGAGAGACTGGACTCTTTATACACTGCTGGTGGGAATGGACAATGATCTAGCTGCAATAGGAAATAGTTTGATAGTTTCTGAAAAAGTTAAACATAGAATTTACCATGTGACCCACTCCTAGATATATACCCAAGATAATTAAAAATGTGTCCAAACTTGTTTGAAAATATTTATAATAGCCAAGAAATGGAAATACCCTGTATCTCTTTTGTTATTGTTGTTTAGTCACTAAGTTGTGTCCCATTCATTGTGACCCCATAGCTCACCAGGCTCCTCTGTCCATGGGATTTCCCAAGCAAGAATACTGGAGTGGGTTGCCATTTCCTTCTCCAGGGGATTTTCCCAATACAGGGATCAAACCTGAGTCTCTTGCATTGGCAAGTGGATTCTTTACCACTGAGCAACCAGGGAATCCCCAACCTGTATCTGTGTCAATTGATTAATAGATACAATGTGGTATATCCATAAGGTAGAATATTATTCAGTCTTAAAAGGAAATGAAGTATTGACAAATGCTCTAACATGAATGAACCTTGAAAACATGCTAAGTGAAAGAAGCCAGGTATATATGATTCCATTTATATGAAATTCCAAAATAGGAAAATCCATAGAGACGGAAAGTAGATTAGTGATTGTCAGTGGCTGGGAAAAATGAAAAGTGACTGTTAATAAATACAGAATTTATTTTGCAGATGATGAAAATATTCTGGAATTAATGGTAATGATTATAAAGCTTTATGAACATACCAAAACTCAGAATTATATACTTTAAAAGTGAATTTTATAGTATATGAGTTATATCCTAGTTTTAAAATATTTGAATTCTTACTTAGGGATCTGTTAATATGTTCTTGATTTTTACTTTTTAGGCAATATAGTAATTCTGGCAGTCTTTAACCTTTAAATAGGTTTTTCTAAATTATCCTTTCTAGAATGAGGTTAGAATTACTGATAAAAGTGAAAGGATATTTTCTGAACTTATTTACTTAGACCATTTAAAAACCTGTTGAATAAATACATTTTTTTAAATAAAAATAGTAACTTCATACACTACTGAAGTTAAAGTGTGCTATTGTTATTTAAAATACAAGAGAAATGAGCCTGTCATCCTGTATATGGTTTCCATGTCTTGCTCTAGAAGGTCCGTACGTCGGTACTGAAATATCGTAGTATTGTTATTACAGGAGAGCCGATTCCCCCTCGGACCTTGACTGAAGCTGGCACAATGGCTCTTTGCTACAGTGCTGCTTGGGACGCTCGAGTTATCACTAGTGCTTGGTGGGTGTACCATCATCAGGTAATAAGGGTGGTCCTGTTTCTTAATTTAGTGAGAAGGGTAACTGTTCCAAATTTTGAGGGTATAGAATGAACAAGGCAAAGTACCTTGTGATGGAGTTGACATTTTGATATTGAAGAAAAATATATAGTGGCAGGTAACAAAGTTTTTTTAAAGCATAGTAAGGGGATAGAGAGTGATACAGGCTACCATTTTGAATATAGTGTCAGGGAATGCCTTTCTGGAAGGGTAAGATTTGAGCAGAGGCTTAGAGCGATTCATGCTCTATCCATGGGATGGACTGTTCCAGTTATGACTGGCACACTGACCTAAAAGGTCTTTCACCTGTTCACCTTTGTTGAAATTTTCTCAATTCTCTCTGGCTTTTCCTGTAAAGTAGGTTATCAGTGTTTTTTCTTTTTTTTCTATACCCTTGGTTTTAGTAATTGCCATTTTTTTGTAGTTAATGCTATTTTCTTGATGGTACTTCATTCCATATATGATTTCACATTCCATATATGATTTCACATTGCTTTTCAAAGTCTTAAAGTTATACAGCAAGATTAAAAAAGTTCAATACCATTATCCTCCCTTAGATTTAGTTTCTTTTTATATTTGTTTGTATTTGTTTTCTGCTGTGCTGTGATACTGTGTTCTTAGGAAATTAATATCACTTCTGGGGTTATTTTTTCTGCCTGTTGCACTGTAATAAAAATGGCTTTAATTGTTTTATGAATAGGTTTTTTTAAGTGTGCTTTTAATCCCTTGCATACCTATTACTAGTAAAGATACTGTCAGATTTGGGTGTTTCACAGATGTGTAAAATTTTTTTAAATTTTGGAATTATATTGCTCACTTCCTGTTTTGCCAAGTTAGAATATATTTTTAAAAATAAGCTATTATCCTTATTTACTAAAATGAAAGGTTATTTCATTACCCCCCAAATAAATAAGATGAAAGGTTATTTCATCCCCTTCCCCCCGCCCCCTCTCCCCCACCCCAGCCAGGGGGAAAAAAATCTCAGGAAATGATTTAATGTAATAAATAGAGTTAATATAGTTTTATACCTGTATGTTAAGCTTTTTAAACTCTCCTTGTTTTTCTTGTTTTATCTCACATGAGAGGCTATGTAGGTCAGTTGTGGCTCTGGTCTATGGCATTTGAAAATGATTGATGTAGTATATCCTTTGTTATTTCTTCTCTTTGTTACTGACAAAGTTACACCTATCTTTGAAGAGATATTTGTCCTTTCAGTGTTAAGAATTTTTGCTAAATTATAAACTTTTCAGGACATACTGCTGTTTACTTTAATATGGCTTTACTTTCTCAGGTGAAAATTTTAAAAATGTGTTTAAGACAAGAGTATAATGTATCATTGTGTTGCTCAGGTATCTAAAACAGCACCAACTGGGGAATATTTGACCACAGGAAGCTTCATGATAAGAGGTAATGACTTGTCAGTGGATTATGGAGACAGGTTTGAAGACCATCTGCTAACATTCTCAGAAACTAATTATTCTGATTTCATATATGAAGTATGTTATTAAATAAGGAAGATTTTACTGTGGTTTGGCAAATTTAGCATTTGACATGCTCATGCCACATATATTTTTATTAATGACAATGTTCTCTCACATAGTTTACGTTTATAAGGGTAAGAAAGTAAATAACATGACCTTTTTTCTAAAAATAGATTATTCAGGATCTGACTAATCCAGAAGATGAGAGCAAGCTTTCATATTTTTTCTTTCTTAATTCTTATTCCTATACATAATGCCAGAGTCTATTAATGGAAAATCTTGCTTGATGACAGCAAAAAAAAAAGAACAAATTTGACCACTGTGTCAGATATCTTATAAGCATAAAATGCAGAAAATGAATTTTAAAACTGTACATTATCTTTACAGGAAAAAAGAATTTCCTTCCTCCTTCACATCTAATGATGGGGTTTAGCTTCCTCTTTAAGGTATTCTTCAGCTTCTTTTTTTTTTTTTTCCTGATTTTCACTAGTCTTACCTAAAGTTCCACCAATGAAAAGAACTGTTTCTGTAGGTAGATGAGTCTTGTGTTTGGAGACATCGGGGTGAACGAAAAGTCAGAGTGCAGGATGAAGACATGGAGACACTGGCGAGTTGTACAAGTGAGCTCATATCAGAAGAAGTGGAACAACTAGGTAGTATACAAATTTTAATAAAGTAGCTGATCATGTTTTCCACTGTCTAGTTTTGCTTCTGAATTTTTAGAAGATCATCTCTTTGGGGATAATTAAAATTTCAAAAATGCCCAACTTGTTGTCAATGGTATTGAATTTTTGTTTTTTGAAATGTTCAATATACTTATTCTAGTGAATTATAAAGTGTTTGAATCCATAACCAATACTTGAACGTATGTTTATATTGTAAAACTTCAGTATTTAATGCATGCGTGTATGCTAGGTCACTTCAGTTGTGTCCAAGTCTTTGCAGCCCTGTAAACTATAGCCCGCCAGGATCTGTCCATGGGATTCTCCAGGCAAGAAGACTGGAGTGGGTTGCTGTGCTCTTCTCCAGAGGATCTTCCCGACCCAGGGTTTGAACCCGGGTCTCATAGTTCTCCTGCATTGACGGGCGAGTTCTTTACCACTAGTACCACCTGGGAAGCCCAGTATTAATGAGTAATACATAAACGTGTTTATCAGAGATAGACTCAGGTATATATAAATACACATTTACTTTTGGATTTAGGATTTAGAAGCAATACAAAGATGAGTTATTATACATGCAGTTTCTTATGAGAATTTACCTTGATTTAATAATATGTTTGCTTCAAGTAGAGAGCAGCTATGGTTGCTGGAATAAATTAACCTGCCTACCTAAAGGAACTAGGGAATATATGCCCTCGAAGTTATTTTTACATATTTTACAGTCCTTGCTTCTTAAGAATAGTATCTCATTGTTTCACTTAACAACTACTGTTAAACATGATTCTGTTTTACTGAATTTTCACCACGTTGCTGACATGAATACTTTATTTACATTATTTTCTATTGTTCTCACAACCATCCTTGGCTGATGGCATCTAATTTTTATAGGTGAGGTAACTGGAGAAGATGCAGGAAACACAGGTTCGATCCTTGGTTCAGGAAGATCCCCTGGAGGAGGGCATGGCAACCCACTCCAGTATTCTTGCCTGGAGAATCTGTGGACAGAGGAGCCTGGTGGGCCTCAGTCCATAGGGTCGCAAAGAGTTGGACATGACTGAAGCAACTGAGTGCACACACACGCACAACTGGACCATATTACCACTAGATGGTGGTCCTTTTGCAAAAGTGTGAACACATTGCTGTGTGCCAGTTACATAACTTGTTTTATTTCATTTCAATTCTCATGTGCAAATTATGATAAAATTGGCAGAATTTCTACAACTGCTTCTGTTTTTCTCGTTTTGGAAATAACAAAGAAAAGATACAGTTTTCATTGCAGAAATGATTGCAATGTCTAAGCAATTTATTGTGGTATAGGATCTTGGAGATCATTTATTACAGTCAGTTCCAGATACAGAGTATCCTTTTATCTAAGTCAGAGTAACCTTTGGGGACGATCCAATATTTTTCTGGTGATGTTTTGGAGAACGAGGGAGTGAACAGAATATTTTTATGAAGTTTTCAAGGAAATCATCTAACTTCGTTGTGATGATAGCACTCTGACTTTCCTTATTGTAATTTAGCAGATGGGGGTGAAAGTAGCAGTGAAGAAGATAAAGATGAATTACATGAAACTCCTGTGGAAGTGGAGCTCGTGACTCAGGTTGACCAAGAGGATATTACTATTCAGAGTGGTGGCAATGAACTAAATGAACTAATTCAGGAAGAAAGCTCTGAAGATGAAGGAGAGTCTGAGGGGGTGGTAAAAGATCAGGAACCTGTTGGTGAAATGAAGGATGAAGAAGAGACATTACATTATCCTGATACTTCCATTGACTTGTCCCACCTTCAGTCCCAAAGGTAATTTCAAAGCCATAATTTTCAGTCTTATTTTGTAAGCTGGGAGTGATGACCTTATAAAAACAATGCCAAGATTGACTTCAGTGCTTTTACCCTCCGTTGTTCTATGATCTTACTGTCTGTTCACCATTTGATAAGGAGGTAGAACTCTCTTAAATTCTCAGGACGCTGGGTAAAAAAATACAGTAAATGTGAAAGTTGCCAAACTAGGTGAAAATAGCAACAAGTTAATGTTTATAAATTCTAATAATAAAAGGGCAATTACACTCTTTTAAAAAGGGTGTCTTAGTCTTTAATGTCTCACAGATCACTAGGTAAACAACACCATAGCTATAAAAAACTTTATTATTTTAGTAGTTAAGAAAGGCTTAGGAGTCAGACCAGTATTGAGTCTTAAAGTGGGTCCTTGGGCAGGTGACTGAGTCTAAGCTTCAGTTTCCTTCTTGGTGAAAAGAGAATGGTACCACCCTTCATAGGGTTTTTGTGAAGGTTATATGCATGTAAAGCATCTCACAGTGCCTGGCATATTATAGGTGTCCAATACATGTCAGCTATTTAAGATTATAAAGTGAGAAGATGAGCAATTTTTTTTAAGATTAGCAATTTGATTATACTTTTTCTAATTTTACCAAATTTGAAAATGTATAGATAGCATGGCCAATAATTAATTAGGAGAGTGATATGGGAATGTTTGGGGGCTTTGTAACTGAATGCCTGTAAAGGCTTGTAGACTCCTCTTTCTGTTTGTTTCCATAGGTCCCTCCAGAAATTGGCTTCAAAAGAGGAATCTTCTAATATGGTAACATTTTTCTTCAAAGTGTTTTGAAGAACATTATGTCATTCTCAATAAATAAGAGTAATTTTCTACTTTTTAATTTTGGCTTTTGAAAAATTAACAGTAGTGATGTTATTGTTTGTATTTGCTTGTGTTTTTGTTTTAATTTTAATAGAGTGACAGTAAATTGCAGAGCCGGAGGCATTTGTCAGCCAAGGAAAGAAGGTAAATATACTTGTGTTATTTAACTGAAAAGCATCTATTTTTTATAACTGACAGTTCGGTTATGACAGATCACTTGGCTGTTATAAAGATCTCATTAAAATTACCAAGATTTAGCATAAATTTTGTTTTGTTTTTTTACATTCAGCTCTGATTGGTTTTTCTCTTTTAAGGGCCCCGTCTGCCACTATAATCAGAAAGGTCAAGTAACACAAAACAGACCTTTTATTACATAAATATGTATGGTAATAATTGCAGTATATTAAATAGATAGGCTGATTCTGTGATACTATTGACAGAAGTGAAGAGGAATACAGGCATACCACATTTTATTGTGCTTTGCAGATTTTTTTATTTTTTTTTAACAAATTGAAGGTTTATGGTAACCCTGTATGGAGCAAATCTGTTGGCATCATTTTTCCAACATCATTTGTTTACTTCATGTCTCTGGATCATATTTTGATAGTTCTTGCAATGTTTCAAGCTTTTTATTAGTAATTGTTCAGGTGATCTGTGATCAGTGAACTTTGTTTCTATTGTAAAGCGATTATGATGCACTGAAAGCTCAGGTGATGGTATTTTTTTTTTAGCAGTAAAGTATTGATTAAGATATATACAATTGCTTTTTAAAGATATATTGCTTTGCACACTTGATAGACTACAGGGTAGTGTAAGCATAAATTTGTATGCACTAGGAAACCAAAAAATTCATGACTTGCTTTACTGCAATATTCATTTTATTGCAATGGTCTGGAACAGAAATTGTAATATCTCTGAGGCATGCCTGTACTGAAATTAGGCAGTTTTTATGTAAGAGGAAGACTTGGGGGGTTTTGCCCGTCTTTTTTTTTTTCTTTAACATAATAGGGCGTAGAAGGCAAACAGAAAAAGATAGAGTGAAGGGGTCAACTGAGACAACTACTGCAGAGTGGAAAAGACGACAGCTGGTGACGCACTCCAGAAAGAGGCCCTAGATTGGAATGGATAGTAAACCCATTTGTTTGATAATCTTTATAAATTATAGAAAACTTGAGTGCTGATATTTATGAGTATGGTATTATGCTAGATATTATGGTAGAATACAAAGAGGTAAAATATAAAGTTTGTGCCTTCAAGAAGCTTTTGAGTCCTGGATTCAAGAAATAGCCATAAATCTGTAAATAGTGTTATCTGAAAGTTGATACAGTATTTCAGGAATAAGAATTTTTTGTGCATTGAAGTGTTTTGGGAAATACCATCACAAGTTTTTACCTTGAAGATATAGTTGCATCTTAGATAATGCAAGTTAAGGTCAGAAACTTCAAGGAGAATTAGTATGATCAGAGACAGGGAGGTGATAGGTATTTGGAAGTAATGTTGAGGGTGCTTTGGGGAAATGGATAAGTAGATTGAGGTGGAAGGAATAAAATGTTCATGTTTGTGAACTGATAGATGATAAAATTGGCAAAGTGAAATAGAATCAAAAGTGGAGAACCTAGAATAATAAGCTAAGTGTTTTAGACTTATCTTAAAAGTGATGTGAAGAGGACTTCTGGAAGATTTTGAATGGAAATGTGACATAGGTAAACAATAATGGAAAATTAATGTAGAAGTTCATGTAGAACAGATTATGGGGGAATATGGAGGAAGTCTGGGTGGTAAGTGATAAGGACTTGGACTGGGGCAGTGGCATTGGGAATGTGATTGCACAGTAATAGGATTTTCCTTTCCTCTTTATTTTCTAAGATCCATTTATTCCACTAACAGACCCACAAATTTTTACTGAACATTTAACATCTGCCAAGGCCATGGTGATACAAAGACTACAAATCCCTTTGCCTGGCCATCAAGGTGTTGAGGGACTGAACGTGGCTACTGAATCAGAATAAGTCAAGGATGACAGTGTGTTGAGCCTGGATGCCAAGAAGAATCATAAATCCATGAGAGAAAACTTTTTAGCTTTTTCTTGTGTGATGACTTGCACTCCTTTTATACTGTAGCCTGGTGATAACAAGTTAAGCAGAAGGCATGATCTCATACACATTCCCTTCCACGTGTCATTTTTTTAGGGTATTAAGAATTTGGAATTCTAGGATTAATATATTTTCCATTTCATTTATATTTAGGGAAATGAAGAAAAAGAAGCTTCCAAATGACTCAGGAGATTTAGAAATGACAGAAGGAAAGGACAAAGAAAAAGAAAATGCTCTACACATTGAAACTCATCAGAACACAAGCAAAAATGTCCCAGTTGTTCAGCCAATGAAACGAGGACAAAAGGTAATATTTAGTACTATATGATTCACAAGTGAAGTTGTGAGGTTCCTTTTTTAAAGTTTAAGTGAAATAGAAGAATAATTTTGTGTGACTTCTTTTGAAAATTAGTTGAAAAGGTAGTGTTTAGGAGCATAGAGATCACTCTCTGTTCTTTTAAGACCATCTATACAGAAACTCTCAAGTTATGTAGAAGAGGAATAGGAGATTGATTTATTTGCCAGAGACACTCAGCTAAAAACTGGCAGTGCTGATCTGATAATTTAACTTAGTAGTTTCTTTTTCAATTATTAATGCAATTTTGGTTACAGTTCTTACCTATTTTATAAAGGTAGGGGATGAAGAAAGACGAGGTAGTGGATACAGACTATACTTTTAAAAATGTAGCTGTGTAGAGATTATGAGCTGATGTATAGGTGTATCTTTAAGAAAATTAAATTCTTTTGAAATTTTTTTTTGAATTTAGTTTTCTTCTGCTATGGAGTTTTTTATTTTTGGTTGTGCTGGGTCTTGTGCTTGGGCTTTTCTCGAGTTGAGGCAAGCAGGGGCTGCTGTCTAGTTGCAGTGCACAGACTTCTCGTGTCAGTGGCCTCTCTTGTAGAGCACAGGCTCTAGGCATGCAGGCTTAAGTTGTGGTGCACGGGCTAAGGGATTGCGGCTCATGGTCTCCAGAGTATACGTGCAGTAGTTGTGGTACATGGACTCAGTTCAATTCCTGGACCAGGGATGAAAGGGGAAAAAAAATCAATTCTCCCTGTATTACTATGTAAATTCAACATGAAGTCATTCAGAAAAGAATTGAGATTTTTAATTACCATTTGAAAGTTCATTTGAAAGAGTACATACCAGAGAATAGTTAAGGGAATCTTGGGAAAGAAGATGAAGGATGGATCTCCTTACTAGGTAGTAAAATATTTACTGTTAGACTTTCTAAAACAGAATGGTATTAACATAGGAACAGCCAGGTAGAAAAGTGAAGCAGAATAAAATCTAGACACAGAACCATAAATTGTGTTTTAAAGGGTATGAAGCATTCAAAATTAGTGGCTAGTCATCTTTTAAAAAATCTGGTTTTAAATCTGGTAGAGAAAAGAACCATCAATATAACTCAATATAATTGAAAGAAAGGGCAAATTGCAGGGTAGGGGGGTAGATCAGAGAAATGTTTATGTAAACAAGGGGAATTTTTTCACCCATCAAATTAATAGATAATGTGTATTCAGTCATTCAGTACAAGTTTGAATATATACCATGGGAATTCCAATCAAGAGTCCTAACAGTGCATTTACCCTCTGACTCAGCAATTCTTACTTTTAGTCATTTATCTTAAAAAAAGTCATATGTATGCACTAAGGGTATTCGTCCAGCTGATAGTATTAAGGAGTTTTACTTGGGTATTTAACAGTTCATCTACAGATGAAGGAGAAGGCAACGGCAGCCCACTCCAATACTTTTGCCTGGAAAATCCCATGGACGGAAGAGCCTGGTAGGCTGCAGTCCATGGGGTCGCAGAGTCGGACACAACTGAGCGACTTTACTTTCACTTTTCACTTTCATGCATTGGAGAAGGAAATGGCAGCCCACTCCAGTGTTCTTGCCTGGAGAATCCCAGGGACGGGGGAGCCTGGTGGGCTGCCATCTATGGGGTCGCACAGAGTTGGACACGACTGAAGTGACTTAGCAGCAGCAGCGACAGATGAAATTTAGGCAGTCAGTCTGCAAATAATGGCTTTGCTTTTCTTTCTCATGTTTCTTGTACTGACTCAAACATCAGTACAGTGTGGCATAAAAGTAAGAATAGCATGCTTCTTTATTATAGTAATACATTAAAGGGGCTAGTTCTAAGATTTTTAACATTGTAGTATCTTGTGGGTTGTTGGTAGACATCCTTTACAAAGGGCTAGTTTTAAACTGAATGCCTTTTCTGCGTCTGTTTTTCTCCCTGAGTGAGTTCATGTGTAAATTACACAATAAAATCCCCTAATTCTGTCCTTGCCTTGTTTGGGTATCTGGGTGATACCAGCTTCATAAAGTAAGTTTAGTACTTTTCCTTTTTTATGCTCTCTAGTGCTTTGTATAAAATGGAGATCATTTGTCCCTTGAAAATTTTTTTTTAGTAGTTGGGCCTGATGTTTAGGGATATCTGGCTTCCCTGGTGGCTCAGATGGTAAAGAATCTGCCTACAATGCAGGAGACCCAAGTTCCCTCCCTGGGTTGGGAAGATCCCCTGGAGAAGGAAGTGGCAATCCACTCCAGTATTCTTGCCTGGAGAATTCCATGGACAGAGGAGCCTGGCTGGCTACAGTCCATGGGGTCACAGAAGAGTTGGACACCACTGAGCAAGTAACACTTTCAGGGTAGGTTTTTAAGTACTTAATTTCTTTAGTGATCATTAACTCCATTCAGGTTTTTTTTTCAAAGTTGGTTTTCCCAAGCTATATTTTTCCAAAAAAGTATTCTTTTTGTTGAGTTTTCCATTTCTTGATTCAATTTATTGGTAATAGTTCATTCTATTCTCAAGTTTTTGTTTTGTTTTTTGTGGTGTAACATACATATAGTGGGCTTCCCAGGTGGTTCAGTGGTAAAGAATCTGCCTGCCTGTGCAGGAGACACAGTGGACCCAGGTTTGATCCCTGTGTTGGGAAGAGCCCCTGGAGGAAATGGCAACCCACTCCAGTATTCTCACCTGGAAAAATTCCATGGACAGAGGAGTCTGGCAGGCTGCAGTCCATGGGGTCTCCAAGAGTCGGACATGATTCAGTACACATGCTACATATATATAGTAATATGCAGATGTTTTGCTTTTAGTTCAGTTTTTATATGCACATATATCTGTGAAACCAACACCCAGAACAAGACCCTTGATTGTTTATATTACTCCAGAAAGCTCACTCTTGCCCCTTTCTAAATAGTATTCCCACCAGAGAAAAACATGTCTTAATCACAGTAGATTATTTTGCCTGGTTTTGAACTTTATGTAAAAAAGCAATCATCCTTTATATATTCCTGTCTTACATCTTTCACTCAACCTTGTGAATAATCCATGTTGTTGTAACAGTTCATTTGCATTGCTAAACAGCATCTGCCAGTTTCTGTATACTATATTGTTCATCATTGAAGACCTGTATCTTTGAGATTCACAAATATGCATTTCTGTCCTGTATAGCTACGAGTGGAAATGCTGGGGTTAGAGCGCACATGTTGTGTTTGACTTAGTAGATATTATCAGTTTTTTGGAGTACTTGTACCAATTTCCCACCAAGCTGTGTATCGGAGTTCCAGTTGCTTTACATCGTCACTTTCATTTGGTATTGTTGGCATTTTTCAAGTCATTCAAGTGTGTATATACTGAAATCTTAATTTGGCTTTTAAAAGTTGGGTTGTCCAACTTTCTCACTGATTTCTTTGAAATCCTAAATACATGTCTTTTCTTGGTTTTCTGTACTACAAATATTTCTCATGTTTTGAGACTTGCTTTTTCAATTCTGTAGTAGTGTTTTTTGATGAGCAGCATTTGTCAATTTTAATGAAGTCTGATTTGTCAATCTTGTATAGTGTTTTTTGTGTGTGTCTTATTAAATCTTTACGATTTTACAAATTTTTTATTTGGGTCCTAGCTAAGACTAGGCAAGATGAAAGCCTTTGGAGGTGAAGCCTATATGTCTATGGTTTTAAAAACTGGTCAAGTGATTTGGATGTGTACCCAGAGTAAAGAATCAGTTGTTTAATTGATGAAATCCAAAGTATTAAGAGTCTCTGCAATAAATACCCAGCTAAATTTTGCTGCCCCATTTCCTATTCTTATGTGTATCCTGATGACAACCACGTGTGATGACTAGCTGTTACTACTCTGTTCTGTCTTTACATTATAATCTTGCCTTTCCTGTATTCCCAGATGCAGTGAATCTTTCAGTTCTGCTTTATTTCTTCCCTTCAGTTCTTGCTCAAGCTAAAAAAAAGTCTCCTTTCTCTAAATTATCTTAGATATAAACTTGTTTGCATTTAGAATATTTTGCATTAATTTATTCTGTGTATCTTTTTTTCCACAAGATGGTCAGTTGTTTGAGGGTGAGGACTATGGATTTATCTATCTTCAAAGACTCCATATTGGTTGTTAAAGTGGTGCCTTACTGAATAACCATTTTGACAGAATTAGAGAAGTGCCTTTTCTTTATATACATGTCTTAACATTTTCTTATTGCTGAATTTTTCCAACCAAAAATGTTTTTTTTTTTGTAGAGTAAAATGAAAAAAATGAAGGAAAAATACAAGGACCAAGATGAAGAAGAACGTGAGCTCATCATGAAATTGCTGGGAGTAAGTAACATTTAATAATAAATTTTCATTTGTTTTTCAAGGGGCATCCAGGCCACTGCCTATCATAGCTGTGCATTCAGTACTTCGTTAAAAGAACTGACAACATTGAAAATACTGTCAGTATTAACTGCTTTTCCCTCTATGAAGTCTGCAGGTTCGAACAAAGAAGAAAAAGGGAAAAAGGGAAAGAAAGGCAAAATAAAGGATGAACCAGTGAAGAAACAGCCCCAGAAACCTAGAGGTGCACCAAGAGTTTCAGACAGCATAAAGAAGGAAACTCCATCCCTTGAAGTTACCACTCATGAGTTACAAGACTTGGCTGTAGATGATCCACATGATGACAAGGTAAGGCTACCACACACATGGGCTTTTGCTTCTTCATTAGGGTGACCAACGATCTCAAGGTTCCCAGGACATGGGATTTACAGTGCTAAAATAAAACCAGGGTGAGTGGTAACCCTATTCCTAATGGGTAGTTACCTTAGAATTACAGCCTAAAAAGAAAAAAGAAATATAGCCTAAAAGACCTAAATTTTAATTGCCATATATAAAAAATGGCAGTGTTGGTTAGCTCCTAAAAAGTTTATCATAAGCCATTAGAAAATTTTATGGAGAAACTAGATTCTGGTGGAAACTTAGTTAAAACAGATAATTAGGATTATGTTGACCATGAATGAGAAATGAATTTGCACTTTTCTAGGTTTTACTATAAGAATATATACTGTATTACATGATGTCAAATGTGACTACACAGTGTGCGATGTTAACATTTTTCCAGTTAAGATAGTTGCCTAGTTCTATCAGCTGAGTACAAAAGTCTGGCCTTAATGTGTATCTTCTTGCATGAATATGTACATCTTTTTGAAATTCTGAACAAAGGATTTATTGTTTTATAAATTGGTTTCATTTTATATTCATGGGGTATTTTGTATTTTTATTCATGGAGTTAAACTGGTTGTATGTGTGCTCCATTCAGTGCAGGTCGTGCTTACAGGGATCCTAAATGTATTACTGTTTTCTTGGTTCCCTGAACAGTGTTGTTAGTAGTATTAACTCACTTTTTGTCTTCAGATTTTTATATTACTTACTCTGTAAACCTTACAAATATTCATAACTGTTAAAAGAATATTCATAATTATCAATGGGCTTCCCTGGCAGCTGAGATGGTAAAGAATCTGCCTGCAGTCCAAGGAGACCTGGGTTCAATCTCTGTGGGGAAGATCCCCTGGAGAAGGAATGGCAAGCCCTCTCCAGTATTCTTGTCTGGAGAATCCCATGGACAGAGGAGCCTGGTGGGCTGTACAGTCCATGGGGTCGCAAAGAGTTGGTCCCAACTGAGTGACTAAGACTTTCATTAGCATATATTCTGTGGAGGTCTTTTTTTTAACTTTAGGGCACATCCTTTTTTTCTTTGAATGGCATCTCTTTCTCATATATTAGACACATGTATTAGTCTATCTTATATTTATCAGTTTTTCTCTTCATAGATTTTAATGGTGTAGAGTTTCAATTTAAGTTACAACTGACTTTTAAAATTTTATATGTTTGAAACAGGAAGAACAAGATCTAGACCAACAGGGAAATGAGGTATGATTTTGTGTTGGGGTTCATACTACAACACTGACTGCAATCTGGGTCCCACAATATCTGGCACACAACTTCTAGCAAGAACTTTAAAAGGCTAAAAAAAAAAAAGACTACAAGCTCTGGAGTAACACATGCTTGTGTTTGAATCCTCACTCTATTACATATAACTACAACCTTGGAAACATTTTTCTTTGTGCCTCAGTTTCCTCATCTGAAAAACGGGATATAATTGCCTCTACCGGGAGAGTTGTGTGAGAACTAAGACAGTATACATAAAGCATTTAGAAAAGTTCATGGCATATAGTAAGCACTAACTGTACCAAGTGTTTTGTCCTAAATCTAAATTTACTCATGTTGTTAGATAAATACAGGCAATCTTCTAGGCACCCCACAAAATGGGAACTCTAAGAAGCCCTAGAGTTTCTCCTTAAGAACAGGCATGAGAGATGACTGTTCCTATCCAGTTTCCCGACTTTGACATCTTTAACATTTGGGGATGGATAATTCTTTTTTGTGGGGAGTTGTCCCATCCCTGGCATCTACACTAATAGATGTCAATAATATTGTTTCCGCCCCCAACCCTGCTTCAGTTATGACAACCAAAAATGCCTCCCGTTTTCTCCCTTTCTCTTAAATATATCTAAGTGTCATTTTGAAAATCGTCATTAAGCTCTGCTTTATATATAGCCCCAAAAGGTGAAATATTATATATCAGAAAATGATAAAATGTATTGATTGTTTTATTAGAAATTTCCTATTTTAGGGCTGGTATAAGTAGCTTTTGTAATTGTTTTTGTTTTCCCTTTTTAGGAAAATCTGTTTGACTCTTTGACAGGGCAGCCACATTCTGAAGATGTACTACTGTTTGCCATTCCAATATGTGCCCCATATACCACCATGACAAACTATAAGTGAGTCATTATGAGTTTACTCAAGCAGCTGCCACAGCATTGCTTTATGAATCATTTTGTAATCTGTTTAGTAACACATGCAATTCCTTTTTAAAGATACAAAGTGAAACTTACTCCTGGAGTTCAGAAAAAAGGAAAAGGTATTTAAAATCTTTTTGTGAATTATGATTTTAAACATTTCTTGACTGAACAGAAGTAGATTCTTCTATCTTCTGCTTACAGCTGCGAAAACAGCCTTGAATAGTTTCATGCATTCCAGAGAAGCAACAGCAAGAGAAAAAGACTTATTCCGCAGTGTAAAGGTAAAGTATTCCTGTAGAAATCTCTAGAGATTGGTGATACAGTTAAATGTGAGCAGTTATGATTTTTTTATTTTTGTTTTTGCATTGTTAGCAGATGGAAGCTGCAGCTATTAGAAGACTGCTGTCTTGCTAGAAACAATAAGAAAAAATTTCAGATGAAAATTTTAGAAATGCCATTTTTTTGGCAGCAGAGGACATATAAAGATCATAAAAATGTGATTGTGAAAATATTCAGCCTTTTTTTTTTTTTTAGGACACGGATTTATCAAGAAACATTCCTGGCAAAGTGAAAGTGTCTGCACCCAATCTTCTGAATGTAAAAAGAAAATAGCTGAAATGAAACCCTAAAATATTTGAGAAGAGTCAGTTTTATAGCCTTTTGGAAGTTCAGAGATGAAAACATCATGTAACAAGACTTCCGCATTTAAAAGTGAACTAACATTGCCTTGCTGTATTCGCCAAAATGACTTGGTTTTTTTCCAGTTTTATAGAGAGGAAACACTATGATAGGATTTCCTAAAATATTTGTGGACAGCAAATGCTAATTGTAAACAACTGCAATTATTCTACATTTTCTTGAAATTTGGAAGGTTAATAGTAAGTATTCATTTCATGTTGTAAAGAAATGGAATAGGGAAGTGGCTCAACTGGTTAGACTATTGACTTAGTAGTCTACTGTACATAACATCTAATATATCTATTACAGGCCAATCGCAAGTTTTGTTTTTCCTGGTGGGGTCTGGGGTGGTTATACATTTAATAAGTCTTGAGGAAATAGACTTCTGCCTTTACTCATATTAGACTAGATTTTAAATACAAATCATTCCCGTGACTTGGCTTAAGATAACACCTAGAAGAAATTGGTGTTGATAACTTCCATGCATTTATATAATACCATTACTTTTCATCTTAATTTCTTTCTTGTAATCTCATTCAGCTCTGTGTCATTTTATTTTCCACCTCTAGTAATTATCAGCATGTTACTGATCTTAACCCAAGAGTATCTTAACCTATAATATTATAAGTGCACTTTCAGGTTTACCACTAAAGACTCCTGACCCAGCTTTTTTCTTTTGTCTCCTAACAATGGAGAATAAAGTCATACATTATTTCCATTCTTTATGAGCTATAAAAGCTGTTGATTTTAAAACAATTCAACAGGCTGCCTCGAGTCAACATGAGCAACTCCGCTTGCCCCGCCCTTACACCAAAGCACTGGGGCCGAGGACTGGACGGCTGTTGGTCCTTCCAAGGTTTCTTTCACCAGCGTAGTCCTATCAACAACCACTTTATGTAGCCTACTGTTTTAAATACAACATAATAGACTACTCATGCCATTAAAGAAACAGCTAAAATATTAATGTCTTTAGAAAGTAACTTGACCATTTTGATAGTGGTAGGAATAATTAATACAATGTTTCTACAGATATAGACCCTGATGTTACCAAATAGGAAATAATCATTCCTTTGGGTAAAAAGCCCAACTATTAACTTCTGCTGTTAAATACATTTATTGTAAACTTTAGACACAAAAATAGGTTCTCTAGGCCATTCACATGCACATTAAAACTAAAAAGCTGCAAACTACAACAGTGTATATAATTATACAAATGATTTCACTCTGATGTTTACAGAATTGCTGTCCATGCAAATGATCAGAGGCATTATCTATGAAGCCTTAAGATCCAGAAGTGTTGTTACTACCAAACCTCTGATTAACACTGTGAAGTAAGTGTTTTGGAAGGCAGTTCCATGAGTTGGCTAACATTTCTTTAAAGCAGATGACAGCTTCTAAACTTAGCCTGAAAGTGGACAAAGAAAAATAATTTCACTTTACTGTTTAGAAGTATATTCACTTGAAAAACTACCAAAAAAGAAAAAGCACTTTAAAGATTTTCACAGGAACTGGATAGTTTTATCAACGAAAGTTTATTATTGCCCTTAAATTATCCATAAACCTATTTTTTCAAGAACACTAATTTAAAGTGTTTAAGAAACAATTTAAAATATATACCAAGTAAAAAGTTACTTACCTTACAAGAGATTTTGGTTGAACTGAAAATATAAGTATTTCATTACTGTGTGCCTGAAAAATAGACAAGAATACATTAAAAAAGTACTTCAGAAGAAAGTTTCAGCAATAATACGAAGTGTCCTTTAATAAAGGGTGGTGTACTTACAGCTCTGTGATGGACAAGAAGGTTATTGGCACACCCTCCAAACACAATTACTTCTCCTTCATCACTGGCACAAGCTGTATGCCATAATCTACATTTAAAACAAGAACTTGTTTGAAGTCACCCCAAAGACCAAATTGAAATTTATACTAGAGACTAGAGATGATGAAATAAAGACTAAAGGTCTTTAGCACAGACCAAAACATAAAATTGAGACACAGTTATCTCAAGGAAAAGTACAAAAAGCTAGAAAAATCAATGTCTTTTATCTGGATATCATTATCTCTCTGGTCCATTCCTAATTTATGCAGTGAGGAGTCTGAATTGAACAATCTGTTCTCTTAAGTTTTTATGAGCAATAAAAGTCTTCGGGAGATGAGTGGTATATGCCCTCTCCTTCTTTTCATAGTCAAGGTCAGTTGTCCTCACACAAAACATCTGAGGAATGTTTTACTCTTCCTGAGTAAACAAAGCATCTTCAGGCCTGACTCTGTGGAAAGAGTATTTGTGCCGAAAGGCATCCTAGTGGCATGACTATACTCCTTAGGTTAGAGACATGGACAAAAATGCAAGCTAACATTATACAAATGTGCTTTGAACACCAATTCTGACTATATCATTTCCTTTTAGCAGTCTGTAACAATTCTGAGATAAGAAAAGTAGCAGTGTTCTAACAGGCTCTTTTTGGACGATTCAACTTCCTAATATTTGTTATACAGTGTAACTGTACATTTGATTGAAAATTCTTGATTCCCTCACCCTCAACTATTCTTTAGGGTTTTGAATTCTCTCCTAGAAGAGAACCAGAAGTTCCTTTTTCAAATGACAAATCGAGAAACAGTTCTACTCTGGTAAAGTTTTAGTATAAATTTTAACGATGTCAGTATTCTGATGAAGCAAAAAGCAAAATCCAGCCCTGTTTTTCATGCACAGATGATGAAAAAGAAAGTACTAATACTAAGAACATTGGTTTTCTTTCAAAAGGTATGATGTTAAACCTTAATGAATGCTAGGGTTTTTATGAGGAAGTGCATGCAGCCAACTGAATTTTCTCATTCATTACCAGTCTTATACATCTCTAAGGACCTTACTCAACATAAGAACTACCTTTTAAATAGTTCGTACCTTGGTTTTTCAGTATGGGGATGATTAAACTGTATCCATTCATTTTTACTGATGCAGTATGTCCAGGCATCACCTGATTAAAGCAAAGAAAAAAGCATGAAGTGTGTTATTCTGTCAATGTGACACTGATATTTAAAGAGTGCAGCTTTAGTAAAAACAATAATAAATCAGATTTTGAGTAGATAAAGTATATTTCCTTTTTTCCCCTGCAGTTAGGCATGTAAGCCCTTTTCATGTTACAGCCATTTAGCACGGCAAAGAGCTCTAGGTAACTTTTTTTTAAACTAGACAGATAGATGTGTCATATGAAAACAATGCTATGTATATTATAGGATCAAAATTAATACCAAACCTTCTAACTATCCCTATAGCCCTCTGATACACCTAAAATACTGATTTTTTTTCCAGCTATTTATATATTACTTATGAATGACATATAATAACTTTTTAAAATATTTTAAAAGTACTTACTTAGTGGCTGTTTATCAGTGGTAAATCCTCCAAAGAGAAACAGATGATCTGAAGAAACTGGTGTTAGTGAGTGCCAAGATCGGCCAACTGGGCATATGCCTTGTGGAATTCTGAAAATGAGAGCAAAGTTACAATATCTGCATTTAAAAGCCACTACTGTATTTAAAGCAGAGAAATACTGAAGTTTTCTTTAAAATTTTATATGGAATTTTGAAGAGACTTTAAAAAAGGCTTCTTGATATTAACAGCTACACGCTTTTCAATGAACTATTTTCTTGGAAGGAGGGTCAACTTTAGATCTTTTCAACAAACACTGAGCACATGCTCTATGCTAGACATACAGTTATGGGAACTGAAAATTTAAAGATTCCTAAAGGATTTAGTGATCATGTTTACTTAAATTCATTGTTACAGAAAAGGAAAGCAGGTATATTATGTACTAATAATAGAGAGTAAGGGGAAAATCCATTGGAATTTTTTTGAAAAACTTTCCTAAATAATTATCTAAATGATACCTACAGTTCATTCCACTCCCATGTATCCAGATTAAGATAGTGAAGGTCATTCATTCTAGCATCCTAAAAAAGGATAAATTAACTAGTTATCTTTCTGAGTAACTGAAAAGCACATCTTTGAAACTGTTTTATATACTCACTCGGTATCTGCCTCCAAACACAAAGCCTTTGTTCCCAACAGTTGCACAGGCATGGGCAGCACGAGGTGAAGGTGGTTTACCCTAGTTGTCATAAAAACAATTTAATGAATAAGTGAACGTTTTATAAATACCAGAAAGAAGTCTTTTCTGGAGGTGGGATAGAATGTGCAGAACACTTGAGCTCTTAAGCTGAAGTGCAAACTTGTAATAAACAGCAGCACTGAAGGCTGACTACCAAAACTGGGAGCTTTTGAGAAACATTACCGAATGGGCTAGTTAATAGAATGCTTACTTGCTTTACTTTTCTTTTAAAATAAAAGCTAGCACATTATATGACACTGTGTCAGAGAAAAAAGACATCTAACATTTGAGTAATTTAAATCCCAATCCAGCACTAGGTCATTTACTTAATTACAGACAATACCACTTTTAACAGCTATTAGATGACAGATACTGGGCTAGTCTATACATTCATTAACTTTTTAGTTTTAGACTCCTTGGAGAATAATGAGCTGTCAATTTTACACCACTTGCCAACTGCCCTTCTCGTTGAAGCAGCTTTGCTTTAATAATTAATTCATTATTCTTCAGTAACTCACAGTAGTTATAGGCTGGCTCCAGATAAACGTTTCAGTGTCTAAAATATGTACATGATCATTCCATCCTCTTGGATGACTTGAATTCTACAGAAAGTAAGAAAGAATCTGAGTTAGTTTTCACAAATAATGTTTGTAAAACAGCCTTTGGTTTATTAACAGGGCAAAATGAACAAAGCTAATAGCAAATGAAGTATATTATTTCAACAGACTAAGTAGGCCACATATGCAAATACGAAACTTCATTTACCCAAAAAGATGTTTCATCAAATTCAAAAGTTCCCAATACTTTATCTTCAGGTAAATATCCATACCCTCCAAAAAATATTAACCTGTTTGATAAAAAACCAAGACATTAAAAATTCAAACATCCATAGATATAAGAGATTTTTTTTTTGTTTTGTCATATTCCATGAGCTGAGAAGGCACACTTGAGTATATAAAAATACTTATTCAAATAATAATGGCTAATATGGCTAACAACGATGTCTTAGGTGCTTTGCCGTTAATTTACTTAATCTTCATGGACCTTCAGAGGCATGTTACATGATTACAATGGTTATTAGCGAAGGATACGTGAATGGCAAAGTACTTTTCACATAAAAACCCAAACCTATGGTGCTGCTGACTCACTTGTTTTTATATACCCAGACACCGAGTTTGTCCTTTGATGATGGAGGAACTCCTTGGCAGTCAATTCTTTCCCAGTGTAATACTCGATCTGTGGACCTTGAATCCAGCATGTAGAACTGCCAGAAGCAATGTTAGATTTTGTTACATGAAGGAAATTCAACCATGGCGTTTAATGTTATTGCACTTATGCTAATAAGAATGTCTAATTCAGTACTACTAAAAGTATAATTGCAAACTGGCTGCCAGTCTGCAAAATGTTACCTAGTCTGAGTCTAGATAAGAAATTTCAGAATGTAAATTACCTAAGTCACTGTGCACCTTGCTTGTGTTCAGCCTATTTTTTTTTTCCCCATACCACTTTCCGGCTGAAGGATTAGAAAGTGTGTTAATTTACTACATTCTTTGCCTGAGATAGGCACTTTGAATTGTACTGATCTAATTTATGTATATTGGGATGGTATTACCAAAAAAAAAAAATCAAACTTAGCAATTCATCTTCAAATTCAATTTAACAAATATGTCTTAAGTGCCCACTTAACTCTAGGAGCTAAGGATAAATCTTGAAAGATTAAGTATTCATTTGTCTTTCAGAGGGATCACATCCAGGTACTTATATTTAAATAGTCAATAAGTTAATTTTTTTTTAACTTCTTTTTTTTAGGCTCCTAAAGCTTCTTTTGCTCAACCCTACTCATTTAACTATTAACCATTTCTCTGACCACTCCCCTTTACTAAAGCCACAACTAGTCTTTCCCCCAAGTTTCCTCATGTTGTGTCAAACAGTTTTCTCCCCTTTGACCCTGAAAAATACATGGCTCAACTACAGCCTACAGCAGTGCCTCACAAAACCTTTTAGGCACAAAACCCTTTCTTCCAACAAAATCTTAAACAAACACCTAAATATAAAAATAAGAACCTGAAGAAATGGCTTTGTTTACAACATACCCAACAAAAATCTGGGTTCACTGTGACAAGGGGCAAAACTTGTGCCCATCCTATGAAGAAACAGAAAACACATGCTCCCCTGCACCTCCAGATGCTGCTGGGCAGGACCAGTGTGACAGGGCTCAACACTGAAAGAAAAGCTACAGCATTTAGTGGGGAAGTTCACCACTTAGAGCGTGTCAGGTCGATGCATGGGTGAGCCATGAGTGGTGTCATAAAGGCTTTTCTTTGGATGGCAAAGAAGAGAAAAATAGATTCCAACTACATGCCATCTGGAAAAGGCAAAACTATGGAGACAATAAAAAAGACTGATAGTTAGCAGGAGTTTAGGGGGAGAGAGGAGATGTATACACAAAGTACAGAAGTTTTTATGAGCACTGAAATACTTTGTGTGACATTATAATAATGGATATATGTCATACTTTTGTCCAAACCCAAAGAGCATGCAACACTATTCACTTAATTAAAGTGAACTGTGATTTACCTTAGGGTGAACTGTAAATAAATAAATAGGTGGAGTTACAATTGTTAAAAGGAAGGAGGAAAAGGGTGGTGTGAAGCCTGCCTAACCCTATATACTTCTCTCACAGGTGTCCCAAAGCATCCCCCCGGCAAATCCCTAGAGTTCCTAGGAGCACAGTTTGAAATCTGAAACCAGTTCAGCCCACATGCTCCATCTATGCCAAATCACTTGGCATTTCCATAAACCAGACATATCTGCTTGTAACTCTGCATCTTGATACCTATATATCTTGCATAATACCCCTTCCAATTGTAGTATGTGATTCCACTCAAGCATCACTTCTTGGGTTAACACTTTTTGTTTTTCTGTTCCTCTGTCCTACCAAACACAATGGTAAGGATTCTTTTTCAGATTCAACAATATTTACTGAGCTATTACTATGAGCCGACTCTCTTTCTCTTTATGCTCCTGAAATTGTTTATGTATGTGTGTCCCGTCTAGAATGTGAGCTTCTAGAGGTGGGGACTGTATCATTCATCTGTCTCCAATGTCTAAGCAAGTGCTCGCAGTAAGGTGCTTACTAAGTTGCTAAATAAATGAATTTTTTTTAAAGTGTCTACATATATCACTGAAACAGATCAAACAGGCAAGAGTGAATGGTGACATTTTAGGAATCAGTGAACTAAAATGGACTAGAATGGGTGAATTTAACTCAGATGACCATTGTATCTACTACTGTGGGCAAGAATAACTTAAAAGAAATGGAATAGCCATCATAGTCAACAAAAGAGTCCAAAATGCATACTTGGATGCAATCTCAAAAATGACAGAATGATCTGTTTGTGTCCAAGGCAAACCATTCAGTATCACAGTAATCCAAGTCTATGCCCCAACTAGTAATGCTGAAGAAGCTGAACGGTTCTATGAAGACTTACAAGACCTTTAGAACTAACACCCAAAAACGATGTCCTTTTCATTATACGGCACTGGAATGCAAAAGTAGGAAGTCAAGAGATACCTGGAGTAACAGGCAAATTTGGCCTTGGAGTACGGAATGAAGCAAGACAAAGGCTAATAGAGTTTTGCCAAGAGAACACACTGGTCATGGCAAACACCCTCTTCCAACAATATAAGAGATGACTACACATAGACATCACCAGATGGTCAATACCAAAATCAGATTGATTATATTCTTTGCAACCAAAGATGGAGAAGCTCTATAGAGTCAGCAAAAACAAGACTGGGAGCTGCCTGTGGCTCAGATCATGAACTCATTGCCAAATTCAGACTTAAACTGGAGAAAGTAGAGAAAACCACACCTAAATAAAATCCCTTACAATTATACACTGGAAGTGACAAACAGATTCAAGGGATCAGATTTGATAGGAGTGCCTGATGAACTATGGACGGAGGTTCATGACACTGTACAGGAGCCAGGGATCAAGACAATCCCCAAGGAAAAGAAATGCATAAGGCAAACTGGTTGTCTGAGGAGGCCTTACAAACAGCTGTAAAAAGAAGTGAAAGGCAAAGGAGAAAAGGAAAGATACATCCATTTGAATGCAGAGTTCCAAAGATTAGCAAGGAGAGATAAGAAAGCCTTCCTCAGTGATCAGTGCAAAGAAATAGAGGAAAACAATAAAATGGGAAAGGCTAGAGATCTATTCAAGAAAATTAGAGATACCAAGGGGATATTTCATGCAAAGATGGGTTCAATAAAGGACAGAAATGGTATGGACCTAACAGAAGCAGAAGATATTAAGAGGTGGCAAGAATACACAGAAGAAGTATACAAAAAAGATCTTCACAAAACATAATCACGATGGTGTGATTACTCACCTAGACCAGACATCCTGGAATTTGAAGTCAAGTGGGCCTTAGGAAGCATCACTATGAACAAAGCTAGTGGAGGTGATGAAATTCCAGTTGAGCTATTTCAAATCCTGAAAGATGATGCTGTGAAAGTGCTGCACTCAATATGCCAGCAAGTTTGGAAAACTGAGCAGTGGCCACAGGACTGGAAAAGGTCAGTTTTCATTCCAATCCCAAAGAAAGGCAATGCCAAAGAATGCTTCAACTACCACACAATTGCAGTCATCTCACACGCTAGAAAAGTAATGCTCAAAATTCTCCAAGCCAGGCTTCAACAGTACGTGAACTGTGAATTTCCAGATGTTCAAGCTGAATTTAGAAAAGGCAGAGGAACCAGAGATCAAACTGTCAACATCCGCTAGATCATGGAAAAAGCAAGGGAGTTCCAGAAAAATATCTACTTTTGCTTTATTGACTATGCCAAAGCCTTTGACTGTGTGGATCACAACAAAGTGGAAAATTCTGAAAGAGATGGGAATACCAGACCACCTGACCTGCCTCTTGAGAAACCTGTACGCAGGTCAGGAAGCAACAGTTAGAACTGGACATGGAACAACAGACTGGTTCCACATCAGGAAAGGAGTATGTCAAGGTTGTATATTGTCACCCTGCTTATTTAACTTATATGCAGAGTACATCATAAGAAACACTGGGCTGGATGAAGCACAAGCTAGAATCAAGATTGCCAGGAGAAATATCAATAACCTCAGATAGGCAGATGACACCACCCTTATGGAAGAAAGCAAAGAACTAAAGAGCCTCTTGATGAAAGTGAAAGAGGAGAGTGAGAAAGTTGGCTTAAAGCTCAACATTCAGAAAACTAAGATCATGGCATCTGGTCCCATCACTTCATGGCAAATAGATGGAGAAACAGTGGAAACAATGACAGACTTTATCTTTGGGGCTCCAAAATCACTGCAGATGGTGACTGCAGCCATGAAATTAAAAGACGCATGCTTCTTGGAAGAAAAGTTATGACCAACCTAGACAGCATATGAAAAAGCAGAGACATTACTTTGCCAACAAAAGTCAATCTAGTCAAAGCTAGTAGTATGGTTTTTCCAGTAGTCATGTATGGATGTGAGAGTTGGACTATACAGAAAGCTGAGTTCCAAAGAATTGATGCTTTTGAACTGTGGTGTTGGAGAAGACTCTTGAGAGTCCCTTGGACTGCAAGGAGTTCCAACCAGTCCATCCTAAAGGAAATTAGTCCTGAATATTCATTGGAAGGACCAATGCTGAAGCTGAAACTCCAATCCTTTGGCCACGTGATGTGAAGAACTGACTCATTGGAAAAGACCCTCATGCTGGGAAAAATGACTGAAGGCGGGAAGAGAAGAGGATGACAGAGGATGAGGTGGTTGGATGCCATCACCGACTCAATGGACATGAGTTTGAGCAAACTCTGGGAGTTGGTGATGGACAGGGAGGGCTGGCATGCTGCAGTCCATGGGGTCTCAAAGAGTTGGACATGACTGAGCAACTGAACTAACTGAACATATATTACATGCATCTTTCTGACTGCATCTGTCTTGTACGGGCCTGAGAAAAACATGCCTTTTTCCTATTTGGGCAAAACATAGACAAAAGTCTGAACAACAGTATCTTATGGTGCCATGTTATAGGAATGTTAGTATATAAAATTTTGTCAGTGTTAATTTCTCCTTACAACTTTTTGAGTTGTGGCCAGTTAAATTTTACTGTGTGTGTTAGTTGCTCAGGTGTGTGCAACTCGCTGTAATTCCATGGACTGTAGCCCGCCAGGCTCCTGTCCATGGGATTCTCCAGGCAAGAATACTGTAGTGAATAGCCATTCCTTTCTCCAGGGGATCTTCCCAACCCAGGGATGGAATCCAAGTCTCCTGCATTGCAGGCAGATTCTTTACCATCTGAGCCACCAATACCCCACCTCGCCCCCCAAACTGCATCTTGTTTTTAGTTTACTAATAATCATCTAATACTACAGCATTTTATTAATAAGAGAATAAGTAGCTGCAAAGAACATATCACAATCAAGTACACGTTTTTGAACTTGAACAGGAATAAACTGGGTTAACCTTAGAAATCTAAAGTGGTCTGAAAAAGAACAAAATTGCCTTAAACCATCCTTACACACACTAACCTTATTTGTATTGCCTCTTGAATGGTGTCCTCCAAACAAGTACAGCACCCTGTCCACACACACGGCACAGCTTCCTGACATAGAAGGAGGAACATCACCCTCAGTGTTAATTTTTTTCCTGAGAGGGAAAGAACTGAATGTAAATAAATTTCCCCAAGAAGAAGAAATGCAACAATGTATCCATTCTTCTAATTCTATCCCCACAATAAAAGGAAAAAATAAGGTGTGAGTAGCCATGCTGAGGTCTCTTCTGGCTCTAAAATTAATTAGAAGAATGAACTAACTTGTCCCTGCCACCCCCTCCACAGGCTGTGCCAGCAGGCACTAACGTGACAGCATGAGAGGTTCTGAAAGCCTACATTTCATGTATTACTCTAGGAGCAAACCATCTTAACATTTCTCTAACTAAATTGTTTGCTTTTTCTAGTTACTTGACCATAAATGATGGTTTTGTTTTTTTGAGTGGGCCAAGAACCCAAAGGAAGAAAACCTCAATATCTCAGTCCTGACAGATTAATAAGTATTTTTTAATTCAGTCACCTTTAACCATTCAAATTAGTCTGATTCCAACCTTACGTAATACTACAGACACTCAGGTAGTGTCTACTATAGGCCAACCATTCCTCTGAGTGCTCTTTACCTGTTTTAACTCATTCTAAGTCTAAAAGTGAATCTGAATCAAAAGGTTAATTCTAAGATTCAGAATATTAATATGACATTCACGGGTTTCTGCTCCTAATATCGCTTCATCTGTGTTAAGCTTTATGTCTATCTGTTTCTGGCTGTGCTGTGGCACATGCCGGAGCTTAGTTCCTCGACCTAGAACTGAACCCGTGCCCCCTGCAGTGGAAGCACGGAGTCTTAACCACTGGACCACTAGGGAATTCCCAATTTTTAAGTTTTGATAGGCTGATTTTGTAAAAATTCTTTATGGGGTTGAATTTTCTTTTTAAATTAAAGCTTCCCCATTAAAGGAATACAATTATAAATGCCCAGTTCTCTAGAAAAAGATCATTAAACAGCTAGATTAACACTGGCTATATGCAAAAATAATCCTGGTTTATTTTCTGTTGAACTCTTAAATCAAGTGGAACTAGTATTCTCCTACTTCTGAGATCTCTAATGTGCTAAAATATATAACAGACTAAGTTTTCATAAAGCAAACCATGGGGAAAACTACTTTCTAAATCCTCAAACCCAGCCAACCCAGCATTTTGAGAATTCATTAATTCTGCTAAGAACGTACTCGAATATTACTGGTATGAAACTGGCAAAAAGTCCTTTCAGAATAACCCCAGTTTGCATGGATGGCAAATTTAATTTTGTTTTTAAGGCAAAACATGCTAATTCAAAGAAATTTACATAGAAATTTTAATATTAGAGCTCATTAAAATAGAATACTACCTTTATTTCTAGCAAATATAGTCTAGAAATTCTCACATTCAAAATACATAACAGAAGACATAACATATTGAATATATATATGGAACTTTTATTGTATTTCCATTCTAGGGTCTGAAGCCTCTACCTCTTTAATATTGCTATAATACTTGCCACAGTTCTGAATAGAAATTTCTTCAAAGGTCATAAAAGCATCTAGTAACTACTGAAGAAATACAAAAGTACTTAAGCTTAGAAGCTATGCTAAGCTAGTAGAATACTGTTTTCAAAATATACAGCTAGGTTAGCATCTTTAATTAAAGTGCTTTTATTCAGTAGTATGGGTTTTACAAAGTATGTTTTTGTTTGCAACCTTATTTGGATGTTCTAGTCCCCCTCTTAATATCCACAGTTACCATCTTCCAGTCTCCATGTTGTAGATCCAGAGTTCTTCTCTAGGCAGATAGAAGTCATATAATCCTCTGACTTGATTACTCTAAAACAACAACAAAAAGTTGCAAATACAAAAAATAACTTGTATTCTAAAAAGGCACTATTGTGTATTTTTTCACATCTATCTCATTTGATACTGAGAGTTACAAGAAGTTAAACAGGTTTTAACAATTCTATGACAGGTACAGTTCTCCCTACCCCATGCCATATACTCAAAGTAATGCTTAATATAGACAGGCCTCAATTCACATTCTTGATACAGCAGTTGCAATGATGCACGAAGTTAACAGATATCCAGGTAATCTCTAAGGCCACTTTATCCTGAACACTCCACGCACCAAATCTGAGTTACATGACCTCATGGGAGATTATCTGTGTCATGTTGGCAGGCTAAAGAAAGTTCAACCTTGAAAGCACCTGATCCACACTAACAGGCCAGACGTTTTTCCCTTTTACCCATTCTTTCTCTACCAAGAAACAGAGACAGCAGAACTGCAAATATCAAGTCCTTGTACAAAATCTTAAGTTCCTTGTTCTGTTCCATTTCCCTTCAGATCGAGCTTACTATATACCAGAACCAGCGAAGTGCTATCCATGGAGTGCTATATTTAATCCTCACAATCACCATAAGAAATAGCTGGTATAGGTTTCTCGGAGAAGTTGCCCAAGGCTATTCAGCAAGGAATGGTGGAGCCAAGATTCCAGCCTCCTTTCTCTGAATCTGCAACTTCAGCCACCCGGCCTGACCCCTCCAGACTTTGAACCAACCACCCTGGCCACCTTCTGGACAAGGCTAACATACAGTAAACAGCTGCAGTTTACTAGGAATGGGTGTCAGAGTCACAAGCTTAAAAAACACACAGAACAGAACATCTGGGCATGTAAACATTTCTCTTCCCACTCCACCACTTATGAAACAAAAACGCTGGCAGCAAGATAGCAGGTTGACCCAGAGTACGTCAGTCTGGCAGGAGGAGGAAAACTGACTTCTGTGTATGAAGCTAAGGTTTACTGAAATCAAAACAATCTCCCAAGGGCCTCTGGTGTGTGGTACTCTTAGGGTTGTAGCCAGAATGTGGAGGGAAGCCTGTTTGAGAACTACAAACTTCCTTCACTAGTCACGCTTCTCCAACCCGCCTCAGCCCTGGGCATCCAGGCCCTCCACAACTCACCTTCAGAATCTTCCACCCGCACAACCCTTCTTCTCCCCTTCTCCCCTCCCCTTCCCTCTTCCTACTGACGATTAACAGTTTTATTTTTCTCCAAGGCAATTATTTACATTTTAATAAAAGTCACCCGGTACCAGCCACCTTGCTCCTACCAAATACCCTCCTCTGAACACCTATTCACTGGAGGCTGGGGAAAACATTTCAGATTAATTAGGATTAGGAGAAAGGAATCAAAGGAAGTAATTAAGACAGCTTTTCCCCAGCTATCTTTTCAGAGTCATCTCAAAAAATGGTCACATCAACTGTAGCATAAGCTAAAATCTATTACCAGAATCACCTAGTGCTTCCAAGTCATGGAAGGCACTGCTGTCCAGGACTAGATTTCTAGCAAATTGGAGCGGGGGCAGA